CGAAATATTCACACAAGGGGTTGTCTATAATATTTTTGATCCACCTTCATAGCCACAAAGTGTCTCGCATGTAAGTCTTAGTTGGATTCATGCGTTTGGTCAGTTAAGTAGGAATTAGACAGCCTTGATGGCTGTGGAAATAGAGCGTTCTCCTTCCAATGAGGTGAACCGAGTTCGAATCCCAGCGATGGCTGGTCGATACGAATTCCGCATCCGACTAGCACCGACCACAGTGCTGACGTGAAATATCCTCACTGGTAAATGGATCATGGGTTAGAGTCCCCTTGTCATCAGGCTAACCGTAAGAGGGTTTCGTGGTCTTTCTCTTCATGTAACTCAAATGCGGATAAGTTCCATTAAAAAAGTTCTCCACGAAAGGCAAATTTCTCCCAATACTTGGAGTTGTCTTGGAATCCAGGAGTTGTCTTGTGGATTGGATTTAAAATTACAAGACTGCGTAGTTGAACATTAGCAATCATAAACCCGAAAATTGGCTCGGCTGTTCAACGACTGTTATAAAATAAAAAATTACTAATTAGGGTGTATGTCACATGAGTTTCTGGTACTCGACACCAACGAGAAGACTTTCAGTTCAAGACAGATTGCTGCCAGTAGTTTTGTCCAGGATCGAGAGCTCCATCAGCTATACCACCGAAGCGCTATATTACATATATTACCTGCAGTTCAGAAACAAAGCACAATCCAGGCATGCATGCATTTAAATTTTCACGGAAAAATAAGATTTGCGATTGTAAACGATATTTAATAGTAGTAATAAAATTATATAAAAGAGCAATTGAAAGCAGAGGCATTTTGGGACGTTAAATGAAATTTGAATTTAATAATTTTTAGATTGTATTAATTTAGTGAAATGGTGCTTCCTTTTCTACTAAAAAGGTTTTTTTTTTTTAAACGGACTACTTTAATCGTCTCATTTTCTTTCGATAAAAAACTAAATCAACGTGAATACAAAATAAAATCATCAGAAATGAAAAGTATTTAATTTCCTGATTTTAAATGCCTTTAACTTAACCAAAATATGTGAACTGAAGTCACACTCATTGTTAATCTCTATATTTCGATATTCAAAAAATCCAAATCTGTCATAAAAAAATACATTTATTCAGAAAAAGTGCGTTTTCTTAGCCGATTCTATAACTTAATGTGTACCACTAATTAATTAGCATATTTGAGGTCACCCCTTTGAACCAATATGATCGACACTTAGTTTGCGAAAATCCGTTGCGAAATCATTAGAACAAAAGTTTCTCAGGGTGTTATCATTTTTATTTTAGTTTTATTAAGTTTCTTATAGCAACTTCAATTATAAAGATTCTTCCCATTTTCACAATTACCAGATGAATAGACTAATTATACTTTTATACTATAATTAAATGATGGTTTAACTGTGTAGAAAAAATAATGTTTTGTTAGAACTTTGGTCTTTTATCATTCATCACTCAAATACTGTGACACCCGCATTAAATAACAATAAAGAATGTTCTTTTATAGGGAATAAAATACGGATAGGGATAAAATACGGATAGAAAAAATAGGAATAGATTGCTCTATACGCCCATAAAAGAAGATTCGGGAAGTTTTCGATTAGAACCTTCGAGTATCCAATAACAGATTTTTTCAGGTGGCACTACTGTTACAGTTATGTATAAAATGCTTGGAGAGATTTATGAGAATTGTTCGATACTTTACACTAGGAATTGCATGCGTTAGTGCTGAGAGGTAGAACAGCAGACTATTTTGCTAATGTGCAGATTAATTAAGGTGATCCGTGTCAAAAAAAGGGTTTCATTTCTCAAATTATCAAGGTAACCTGCAAACCACCTAGATAATCTGCACTTCTCCAACTAGTCTCTTGTTCTCTAGGCTGGAACAACAACAACAACTTTCTTTAGGCTTAAATTAACAAAATGTTACTTATTTTTTGATCTCTAAAAATCAATTAACTACATTCAACACATTGGTTGATAGAATCAATCAGAACCAACTAAAACTAAACTCAGTGGCACGACAGCCCATCGAGGGCCAAGGCCTACTGTGCCCATCTGAGATGTTCCGGTTAGATGGTCAACCGAACGCGAAACTCCCAGTGTTTAGTTCCCAAGCATGCTTGAATCAGAACCAATCTAAAGTCAATTAATACAGTTAACAAATTAGTTGACACAATGAGAAAAACTTTAACCATACTGTTTATGCGCAGATTATCTAGGTAAATTGGGAAAAACCTTTGCTTCTGCACGGATTATCCTATGGTTAATTTGCAGGTTAGTGCATATTAATGGTTTTCGAACTAGAGCGGCAATTCATACAAGGGCAAATGCTCTCTAAGCAAAGCATGATATAATTTGACAAACATAACTCACAGAAAACACAAAACCATTCTTTTTCCCTCTATTCTTTGCTTTTTTATTTTAAAACTGTATTTTACTGAGTTGACAAACAGAGAAAAATAACATTTTCTTCAACCAATAAATAAAATTTTTATGACACAAATTTTATTTTAATTTATTTATTACTACAGGGCATTCTTATATCCGATTAGGCAAAAAACAGTGTAGAGAATACCAGGTAAGGATTTTCACCTTAAAAAACATCAGTGTAGGGAATACCGGACAATGCTTCACGCATCTCCTCTAGGTTATTATAATGGTTATTTTAATATTACACGATGCTAGCTAAAATTTCTTTTTTTAAAAGAAAAAAAAATTCAAAATTATTAAGTATAAGTATGAACCTATTTGTTGCACGAAGAAATTACTTTCATCTAATACCAACAAATCATAACCATACTAACTAAAAGTACGAACTTATCACATTTCATATTTTGCAGGTTCGTCATTTGGTTTTGTATATACAATGCTGCGGTAATGGGGTAAATGTTGATTCATTTCACGCTTAACTGGTCAATATTTGACAATATTGATTGATAGCGTGCGTATGTACTAAAATAAATGTGCGTGTATTTTTTTAAATTCGTATACCGTAAGTAAAGCAACATCTGAACATAATATCTTTTATTACAGGGATTTTTAAAAATGTACTTCTTACATAAGCATTATTTAATTAATAGTTTGAATCTATTCTTACTAAAATAATTTATAAACTGTTATTTAAGTGTTTAATATAATGTTCAGTTTTAATTAACTGAGGCTAAAATAAAAAGAATAGGTATGAAATAATTAAAGATTATAAAGTGACCTAAGAAATAATTTGACCTTTTTCTTTTACGCCTAAGCAATTATGCTTTTAACAGGCAATGGAATCGATTTCACTCACGCCTATCGCTCTCTCTCTCGTTCTATTTTTTGTAAATTTTTTCATTTGTAAACAGTTTTGAATTTTCGAGAATATTAAAGGCTCAGAAAGCAATTAATTTTTTTTTTAATTATTATAATTTCTCATTAAGTTTAAGGAATTCCCGAAGGGGGAGTATAACACAAACATTCATTTTTTTTAATAAAATCAAATGCAATAAGAAGGATTCATTTTTTAAAAAAAAAACAATTTTAATTAAATTATTAAAATATGAAGCTAATTTTAATCACGATACGTTTTAAGAATCAACAATTCTTCTTATAATGCTTTAAAAAAAACACTTTTCTCGCATGTTTTATTTATTTATTTTTTTTTTAAAACATATTATCGTTTCCAGATGTTAAGAGTAGTCTATGTATATTTTTCATTTTATTTCCTTAAACTAAGTAAGAAATCTATTATCTTTATTCCATTATTTCTCAATTTCGTTACTAAAATAAGTTAATGGGGTTTTTAATAGAGATTTACCGAGTCCGTATACCCGACGAATACTGGAACTTCTACCTGGCCGGATTTAAGAACTCGGTAAAAATTGGATTTTTTACCAGGCTGGTTCCAGGTACCCAGACGGGTATTCAAAACTATAAAAAAATTTCATAGATTTTATCGGACAAATATTTTAACAAAATATAGCTCTAAGTAAATTTATTATGCTCATATATAAATGAAACATACATCTTCATTTTTCTACGTAACCTAACTTTCAAAAATTTCGGAATTTTAAATAAATTTAAGAATTTCGGAAAAACTGATCATAGTTAAAGCGTTTACAACTTTTTATGCACTTTGAAATAATGAGATAATTGAAATTGAAAATATTAAATAAGTTCCTATACAGTCAATATAAATAAACGACTAGAGTTTTGGAAAACTTAAGGAATTCATTTTTTAAATTTCCTCATCTCTCAAATTCTCTATTTTTCAAAATTAAAGTTAATAAAAGAATTTCAATTGGAATTTGTGAAAGTGATAACTTTTCCCTTTATATCTGCAAATTCTCTAACACATTTTGCTAAGGATCTGAAACTAGCGACTGAGTAAGTTTCAAAACGAATTATTATTCTTATGTTGGACTATCAAAAATCAGTTCGAATTCCTACATCAGAGTGATGGTTACTTATATTGGTGACCATCAAAAATATAATGGTTCATTAGGGAGTTATTGATGGTTACCATAGAGATTATGTTGGTCCATCAATGGAAAACCATCAGAAATTTTGACTTGGGGAAAATAAGATTTGAAGGCAACAAAATGCTCATCAAAATCCAACTGAAAAAAAAAGATTTATTCTACATACAGAACGGAAAAGTCTTAAATATGTAGGTACGAATGAAACTTTCTAAACAGTATGGCTGTGCTTTGGTTCGTTTTAAAATCTGTTTTCTTAATTAAAAAAAAAACGCGCGTATATATAGGTATAGCGCGAAGAGCAAGGGCAGGATTAAAATCAGCTCATATTAATAATTTGTAGTTAAAAAAGCTATGCCAATTAATGATAGTTAATTAATATTGACGGAAAAAAAGAAACGTTTTCAAAGTGTCATAGATTGTTGTTGAAAAGAACAAAGAAAGCATTAAAATTATCTGATATTGGTTGTAAAAAAAGCCATTAAGAGTCTGGTAGCGCAAATGAAGGATTAAAATCATCTCACGCAATTGTTTTCAGGAGGCAATGGAGCAGCAGCAGCCGAGAGAATTTGTTCACGTGACTCTGAATCTGAGCCAACAGAACAGCACATTCGCTCCTAATTTATCAGACGTGTGGGATGACTTTGATCTAGTGGTACACGATTTTCACAAGGACAAACTGACAGTGTACAATGTACAAAACCTTGTACTCATCATTCTCTACGTCATCACTTTCATCGTCGCAACATCTGCCAATTCCATAGCACTTATCGTCTTCTGGAGGTAATTAACTATTTATAAACTATTCCAAAAAAAAAACAATTATTTGCGAAATAATTTCTTTTGAACAACTAGAAAGATTATGAAAAATGATAACTAATAATTTGCTTTATAATTAAAATGAATCCAACTGTTGTTGCGGTACATTTTTAAAACTGTAACAGAACTATTTTTATCGATGGTCATCTAGCGGAAGCAAGAACTATATAACGCTAGTCAGCAACCAGATTCAAAAAAGTGAGGTTTCCCCAAAATCTCTGTGAGGCAAAAATTTACTTCCTGTCATGTGTTCTTTTTGTACAAGTTCTGTTTTTTTTTTTTTCTTTTCTTTTGTTGTTGGTGTTTTTGGACGAGTTCTCTTTCCTTGCGTTTGTATTAATAAATAATTTGGATCTAGTCACGTAAGTACCAATAGCAAGATTGTAAGTAGCAATAATAGAGCGATAAGCCGGCGCGCTTTTTTAAGGGTTTGTATGAACCTGTTCCTTAACCTTGATTTCAGATAGACAATTTTTACTAAATAACAGTATAATACACAATTAATTCCTACTGAGCAGGGGATAGAGCGTTCACCTTCTAATAAGGTGAGCCGAGTTCGAATCACAGCGATGGCTGGTCGATACGATTACGCCACCAGGCTTGCACCGACCACAGTGCTGACGTAGAATATCCTCAGTGGTAGAAGGATCATGAGTTAGATTCCCCTTGCCGCCAACCGTGGAAGGTTTTCCTGGTTCCATGCTACACAAATAAGGGTTAGTTTCATCAAAAAGTCCTCCACGAAGGCACATTTCTCCCACTACTTGATCCAGGAGTTCCGTTGTCTTCTAGACTGGGTTCAAAATTATAAGGCTACTGAGTTGAGCATTAGTAGTCGTAAACGCAAAAAATTGGGTATGCTGTTCAACGACGGTTATAAAATAAAATTAATTCCAACATGAGAACCCATCACAAAGCAACTGTGGAAGAGATGAACGCCTTATACTTTATCTAAACTTTTATAAACGTCAATTAGTTGCTCACTAGCGTTTTTTTAAAAAGTTGTATCATAACAGATTGAGCTTCATTTACCCAGATAAGTTTCTTTTCTAGGTTTCAGCACATGCGTTGCCTTTCTAATTCTCTGTTAATCACACTTGCTGTTTCTGATCTGCTCGTCTCCATTGTGTGTATGCCGATGTCCATAGGTCAGTATGCCTACAAATTATGGGTATTCGGAGAAGGAATGTGTAAATTCACGCATTATTTGCAAGGTAATACTTACTAATAAAAATTATAAAACATGCATTTTTCATATTGACATCTCTGCTACTTTTTTATTAAATTTTCTTCAGATAATATGATAATTTTTTTATAAAATAATGATTTTTTTCTTTACTAAAAATATTCTATGAAGTTACAGTGTTACTTGATAGCATTATACACATTTACTAGATATCGTAATTAATTCTGAAAACACTGCTTCAAGAAAAATGCTTTTAAAATTTCAAACAATTATTCCTTCCTTGTTGGGAAAACTAAGTTTATTATTATTATTATTATTTTAGTAACATTTTTATTGAACCATTTTCTCATTTCATAAAGGAAATTTTCCCGTTTACAAAAATGTGAAAGGGTGCTATAAGCGTCATCAAAAACAAAGGCTAGCTTAAGCGATAACAAAGTGCAGTACACCGAGATAGATGANAGATGAAAAAAAAAAAAAAAAAAAGCTGACGACATTTTTAAAACTGCTCTCGATCGATTCAGGCCGAGTTTTTGCGAAGAAATGTGGTAAAATTGCTAATGGGAAATGGAAAAATTAAGACAGTTTTTGAAAAGAAATGCGTTTTACCCATTACGGGATTTAAAAAAAAAGTAAAGAATTTGGAATTAATAACATCTAAAGAATTTTCTGCAGTTTGATAGCTTTGATGACATTGTATGAAGCATTGTCTGAACTGATGAAATTATTAGTGGCGTGACTTAGATAAAAACGATGAAAAACTTCAGATATTTAAATGAATTACACTTTTTATGTTACATGTATCTTTAATAAAATACTCTATACAGTTCTGCAAAAACAAACAGTTAACTCTATACTTATATCCTACTTACCATATTTCATCTTGTGTCAGAAAAAATACTCTCCTTCGTTTAATCTTCAAAAGAATGTACTTAGGTCGGACAAAAAGCACAAACTAACAATAAAGAGCCTCACTTTTAAAGTTCCAAGTTTTCATTTTAGAGATTCAAAGCACGAGAAGAGGCAACGACGTTTTCATTACGACAGTATAAATTGCCTCCCTACGTGAATTGATTATTTAAATCGGATTCTTTTATCATTTTTGATTGAATTTGTTGAAAGGATTTATTTTTGCTTAAGTTCTTCAAAAAAAGAAGAAACGATACAAAATACTAAAAACATAAAAGAACATTTCTTTTTCAAGGACTAAAAGCAGATTATGCCCTAACTTAGATATTTTAACTCTTGATTTTTCTTGTTTCTTTAAATTTATTTTTATGTTGAATGTAGTGTGTACTTATGTGATCAATTTAACCCATTATAAGGCCACATTCTCACCAAATTCATTAATTTTTAAATGTCGGTGTGAAGTTATTTTTCCTCTTATGATTTGTGCGCCATCTAATTATAACTTTAGAAAAATACCAATGAAGGGATTTGTTTTAACTAATGTGACTAACAACAAAGGTTAGAGTGGGTTCAGGAAGAGAAGCTAACACTTACGTATTTGCTCTTATTTTATTCGTTTGTTAATTTTATCATTTTTCATCAATTTTATTTGTGATTCTAAACACTTAATTAATAAATTCAGTAAATTATAAGCATAGAATTTCAAGTTAATAGTTATTTCTTTAGAGTAGATAAAGCTTTGAAAATATCCCCATCAAAAAAATGGTCTCCATGAAATTAATTTTATGTATAATAAACTAAATAAATTTCTTTCTGTAAATCTATTAATCCCTAAAATATTTCAACACAACATTACGATTAGTATTTAAAAAAACCTTATCCCGAAACCCCATATAGGGCAAACCAACCAGTGAAGGAACATTTCATATATATTGATTAAAAATAAGAATTTGAAAGTTTTTCTTTAGATTGATTGGTAACAATAGCTTACTGCCAAACAATAGGAAGTCATCTAGCAATGTTTTGGATTACCTGGTCAAATAGACTTCTCTGGAAAAATTTTTGAATTTGTTATTATCTCTGCAACACCTTGTTTCTTTGAAAAAATTATAAGGTGAGTGTTTGTATTTATATGTTTGAAGTGGAATTAATTGCATGTAATAGTTTTATTTTTCTCACTGTGAAAAAGAGAATTCAAAATATAGTTATTGAAGTTACGTTTTTTTTTTTTAAGCATCATAGCATAATAAAGTACTGAGATAAGGGGGTGTTTATTCGCTGGATCACCAATCGATGAAAAACCAGTGAAGGAACTAGTGTTCCTTTACTGGGTTTTTTTCTAAGTTAATGAGAATAAAAGATAAACTTAAATTTTCTTGTACCTTTAGTGATGTTCCGCATCAAAAGTATGTTAAAAATACGAAAAACAACCTCTAACCAGTGACGGAACAGGCATGTTCCTTTACTGGGCATAGATTTCCCAGTGAATGAACAGTATGTGTTAATATGTTGACACTTTAATTTTCAATTCATGATTACAAAAAAAAGTTAACATTTTCCAAGTATTTATATGTTATAATTTCAAGAATAGGCTTGTTTTTAAATATTTGTATGGCTTATAAATTCATAAAGAGCATTAAAAAATAACCAAAATTAAGTGTTCCTTTACTGGGTGTTCATTCACTGGTAAGAGCTGTTCCTTCACTTGGTCTTCTTACTACTTGTTATTTGAACCTCCAAAACTTTAAAACAATATTATGTAAGTTCTCTACAATTTTTTTACATAATTTGCAATTAGTAACAAATATGTTGACACTGTCATTTAACTAAAATTACGAATTTTGAAATTAATATGATTTTTTAAAAGGCAAGCGAAGCTTTAGTGTTCCTTCACTGGTTAGTTTACCCTATAGATGTGTAAGTCGACCCGTTATATAAGCCTGATTACGAAATAGCAAAGTTCTGGTATGTCGAGTGCATAAATCGGCTGCTGAAAAAAAACCCAAATTAATACAGAGTTATTCATATATTCATTGACTATAATGCTTCTATATTTCATGATCAATGAATGCCCGACTTTATTACTGGTTGTAAGTCGATTTCCTGATTTTCGGAAATTTTGGCGGGTTTGTGAAGCAAACTTATACACAAAGATACATGGTAAACTAATGGAAAAATAACTACGAATGAGTTTTTTCTTACTGTTACTACGTAAATATTTATATAGGTCGATATTTTTTTTCTCAATTCACATATCAATTATATAATGATACTGATAATTGCTAAATCCGAAGTGATAATCGAAAATCTGATGTTCTAAAGCAGTGGTTGCCAATATTTTGGTCCTCAAGGACCATGAAGCAGAATATGTTTCATCTTACGAACCCCATTTATTGGAGGAAGTACCCCAACTGATTAGAGTGAGTTTTTAAATGTATCCCATCAAAACAAAATTGACAATCTTCGAAAATTTTTAAACATTTAACAATTTGAAAAGTTATTCAAGCCGGAGAGTTTTCAAATGAGTACACTATTTTCAAGGAAATTTTTAGTTAACATGGCAACTGAAATGAAAAAGAAAAGTTATTCAAGTTTACTTAATAATTACAATAAACAAGATCGTGTTTAATCAGTGTTATGAAACATATTGCATTTTCTTAAAAATAAAAAAAAAAATCATCGAATCATTGTTCTAACAAGGCCAGATTGCAGCTCATGTCAACAATATTTATTTTTAAATGCTTTGATTCTTTAAAAGAAGTGATTGTTGAAATATTAAATAATTAAATTTGTTATAACCTTCAAAGAAAAGCCACCAGACTTAACAGTTGTGTAGCATTGTTGCAAACAGAACAAAATTCCCGATAAGAAATGCTTATCAAATTCTCGATATTAGGAATTCAAATTTAGAAATTTTCAAAATTAGAAATTTTCAAAATTTTCACTTCTCTTTAGCTTATGCTTATATTTATTTATTTTCTTATGTATTAAGATTTGAAAAAAAAATTGCATCGGAATTAAAGCAAAATATTAATTCTGAAAAGTTAAGGAATTAAAAAAAGATTTTTTTTCCTTCTCGCCATTTTTTTTTAAAAATCTGAGATAAATAAACTGCAAATGCTGTGGTATTCGTGCTGAAAAGTTCCTGCTACCAGGAATACAAATGTAGCAGACTTTTTTCTTATTTAAATTCATAAAATTTTCATTTTAAAGCTATGCATGCAGATTTGTTTCCTCTAAAGAGCACCACTCAGTTTATGACCAACCCTCGTATTTCAGAGAGTTCAGAGTCGTATTCAAGAGATAAAATTCATAGTTTCACTAACAGTTTACAGAAACCTGAAGCTATTTTTGTTACGAAGTTATTAATTGTAAAAATATCAAATTGAAATTTTTAGACGCAAAAAAAAAAAATTGGTCCTCAAGTACAAACTATACAAAAATTAAATATCTTATCTTTTCTTATATATCTTATCTTTCTCAATATCTTATCTTTTGGCAAAAATTATACTTTTCCTCATTTTTTTTTTTCAGGTCATAAAACAGTTTAATTTAATTGATTTTTATGTTACTCTAAATTTAAAAAGAATAATGTTCTTTCATAAATATATTTAACTTCTTTTCTCATTTACCTGATTTCTAATTTTAAAACAAGCGCATTCTTTTTTAGGCGTTGCTGTTGCGGCGAGTGTTTTTACAATGACCGTCATGAGCCTAGATCGATACATGGTCATCTGTCACCCCATAGCATTTCGCAAGCATCTCTACAGGCGTCATGTGGGGTGGAGCATACTCTCGGTGTGGTTACTCTCTTTACTTCTTTTCGTTCCTGTCCTCATAGTGAGAAAGGCTAAAGGAATCATTCTTCACCCCGGCTCGAGGTTCTTTTATCTCTATCTCTCCTCTTCTGTGTTCATAGTCTTTCTTAGTAATTTTTTTATTATTATTCAAAATTAATATTCTTTAAACATAGCTCTAAATTGATTAATTAACTCTACTAGATAAAAAAAATGAAAATGTTTTTTTAAAAGGCTACTTTTAATATTTATTTTTTAAAAAGATTAAGATTTCCACAACATTATTGCAATTTATATTGTATATTAATTTAAATAAACATATTTCATAGAGAAAATTTAAATATACAGGAAATTTTTTGTTTGGAGAGTATTTTTTAGATAATTTTAATGAAAATAACTCATTAACGGAAAACACTTTACACAAAAAAACTATTGTACATACAGCTATCATACTTTTTGAGCCGTTTCGTATAACCCTCTGAAGTGTTATGAACCTCAACTTAAATGATATCATGAAATTAAAAAAATTTATGTAGTGTTAAGCATCTTTTTCCATTTTTTTCACATTTTCTTCATATTATCTACTGCAAAATATCTCATAAAACAAAAAATAATACAGTTATCTGAATTCTGGAGGTCTGTTATATAACCACCAATACCAGAAACAATCTCTGAAAGTTTTAAGACAAATTTATTATAATTAGTTGAGTTATCTTGTTTTCCGTAGACAAAAAAAAAGCAAAATTTCATTTTGAGAAAAACACAATTAAAGTTTATAATTACATTTTTTCTAAAAACTATGAATGTTTGCCTGTAGGAAGTAATTATATTTTATAGGGGGCACATTCCTTCACACATTTTCTTAGTTTTATTTAACGTATTTAGCGATATTTAACGTAGCGATATTTTAACGTATTATTTAGCGATATTTTAAAGTATTTAGTGAATAACATCAAAAGTCTACTACTTATAAAGCATTTAACACAGGAACAATTTTTTATTAAACAACCATCTTACTGTATTTTCCCACTTTAATAAATATAGTTTTTATTAAGAATTAGAAGTAAAAAATATTTTTTATAATATTTATAATAGCCCAAATCTAGAATTTTCCTCTAAATGCAATTTGTTATCATAGCAAACCGGACAACATAATGAAGCTAATATCATCATCAGTATCTCAATATCAATTATTCGATTGCCACACAGATTGTTTTTATCCAAAAGGATCAGTTCTTTATTGACATCCATAGAAATCGATAATTTTGAAGAGCTTGAAGTAATAGATTCATCTGCTTTACAAAATTTTGAAGAAATGGTATAATCAACTTTACTCAAATCATCGCTTTTGTTGGCATGTTGATTACCGTAATATTTACGTTTCTTAGATCGAGAAGTACGTCCTTTACCCATCTCAATAAATTTATCAAAATAGATGACAAATTTTTTTGAAAGAAATCAATAAATTTCTTCAAAACAAACTAAAATCAAGATATGGAAAGTACGCTTCAAATGTAAACAAACTATCAGAAAATATGCTAACTTTTCCTGTTACCCACAAACAGTAACCACGAAATGTAAAATATAATTAAAATATAATTAAAAATAAACACACAAATAGAAATAGAACCGAAACTATTAACTACTACCGGTTTCATTTTTGTAATTTCCGGTAAGTTAGACAGCTGTCATCTGTTACTAAAATAGCTGTAACTAAAGTTCTGCTTGACGTGCATTCAAAAACAAAACAGTTTTGAAAACTAGAAAAATTGGGCATTATTATAAAGCAATAAAATAAAAAAGTGATTTTTTGTGAAAATCCTCGTTTTTAAGGTACTTTAATGGTAGTTAAAAAAAATTAAACTTTTGGGTCACAAACTAATATTTATATTTAAAAAATTAAAATAAAACATTTAAAAAAAAAAATTTACACCCTACTAATAAAATAAAATCAGATGAAATAATGAAAAATTCGTTACACTTACAACCACTTGTAGTTTTAAGTGTAATAATAAAAGTGTATATAATAGAAGACGTTAGGGGGTTAAGATTATGAACTTAAAAAAATACATTATCTACCAATATAGACACTATAATAAAAAAAATATTCATATTTAATTGTACCTACAGAAGAATCTGTAATAAAAAGAAAAGAAATTAGTCATATTTATTGTAGCTGGATCCTTCGCGGATAGCAGTTGTAGTCATCAGAAGTGTACTTTCCATTGAAACAACAACTCATTTTAAAATTTAATACATAATAGTAAAAAAGTATCAATCCTACAGAACTGTAAAGGTAGATGAAGAAATGGGCAGATACTTATGTCAGAAAATGATGAGCGTTGCAGATACTTGAAGTATGGAATTCTAAAGAAGTATAAAAAGAGAGAAAAAGTAAGAAATATTGAAAGAGGCACGTTTTTCGTCTCGAGTTCTGTAGAAATTAAAATCTTAACGTTAGCATTGTCATAAATTTTCTCTTAGTCTTATCGTTTATGGAAAACTTTCAATATCGCATTCGAAATAATGTCGCTTTTAATTATCAATGAAAGCAAATGAATGATTAAAATAAGAAAGTTGGTTTCTGATGAAAGAACATTGCATTCCACAACTTTAGTTGGAGCCTGTTAACCATTTTATCTTTTATATTTGATAAAACATTAATATGATGCTAATTACTATGCTTTTTAAATTGTTATAAGATACTATGGTTTAACTTAAAGGAGTTCATAGTTCTTCCTCAAATAGAAGTCATAGCATTGAAGGTTTCGTATCATCGACTTTCACTTGGAAATAACCTCCGGATAAGACAAAATATAGTTTTTTAAAAAATTTATTCCAAGTTAAAGAACTGGGCAGTGTCACTTAAGCGATGCAAACACGCACCGATATGGAAACATTCCCTAAATATTTATTTGTGATTCCGAGAGTGCATAGTTTATTTCAACTCTTTATTTTTTTTTACAATAAAATATATTAAATATATAATAAAATATATATTTTTTTATTCAATAAAATATATTTGAAGGGTAATCATTATGAAAAACCTCGTGATAAGATCCGAATTGAGTGTTTCTTTTTTTTTTTTTTTGGCAGCCGAGAGATGTCGTTTGTGTATTGCGTAGAAGATTGGTCCTCAGATTCCTCCAGGGAAGGTTTTGCATTCGCCACTTTTACCTTAGTCTTTGTATTGCCAGGGGCCACCATGGCTGCTGCCTACTGCCGCATAGGAGTGAGACTCTGTGGAGGTGGAAGCGGACTCAATCGCTCCGAAGGACGCTCCACAGGAAAACAGGTACAATAACTGTAGTTTGTCTACGGTAAGAACTCCCCCCGCCATAAAGTCTGAGGCCGCCTGCTGCTATGGAAACAAGATTAGGAGGTTATAAGTTTAAGAGAAGCTACTTCTCTTCACTCTAGGGCTAACACTATAGACCGGAGCTAAAGATGACCTTTCTCTCGCCGAGCCAAAACTTGTCCTAAACAGTGACCCTGCACCCCTACTTGAAATAGTTATACCTCGTTACCATAGTTACCACCACGGGTCCAGAGGAATGGCTAGGGGAGTTCTTACTTTAGACAAACTATATTACTGCAAGCAAGGCACTTAAAAAGCTTTATTCTATTCTTTTATTTTCTTACATACCCGGCATTGATTTGCAATATATTATATTATATTATATTACATTACATTACATTACATTACATTATATTATATATTATATAATTTAACATATGTAATATAATATTATATAATATAATGTAGGGGTGCACAATCTTTTTGAGTGAAGGGCCACTTGCACAGCAGGTTGGCTAACGAAGGGCCGCACATGTATTTAGACATGTTAATGACAAATATAGTAATGTTTATTTAAACATTAGCGTTCCATTTTTTTTATCAATAAACTTAGTAATATCAATAACTTAGTAGTGTTCCATTATTACAATTCATTCAAAAATAAAAAAACTTATTCTTTTTTTCTTTTTTACGAAAAAAACTTGCTATTTTTATCATATGTACAATAGATTTATCAAAATAAATAGACATTGAAGAAAAGAAATATTTTTTTTTTATCATATCAAACAATACAAAAATTCATTTTAGAATTAAATTCGAATAAATAAAAAAAACTGCAATGCCCACAGAATGAAAGTAGGAAAAAGTTTAGACATAATTAAGCAATAAAAATTCAAATTAAATATTTTAATTGAAGAAAATTTATAGGTTTTAAACAAAAGCCAAAAATAAAAACAAAACTGATAATTCAAAATAAAATTCAATGCTTATTTTGTAATGTGCTTTATTATTTTATTTTATTAATTATTAGATTTTTTTATACCGTAAACATTTTCCTTTTTTTATCGAAAAATATCACTTAAGCAACAAAAAATTGAAATCTAAACTACAAACAGTGAGCAGTTTAAAAATTCACGTTTTCTGCCATTTTATGAATTTCTCAAGTTGTAATAGCATTGCATTTAAATTAGGGAGGGATGTAACGAGTATTTGACCCTTCTGTGAAAAATTCAGTTGGTTGAATGATCAGTCAAATATTCGGCAAAATATGTTTTAGAAATGTATTTTTCTAAGTTTTTTTAATTTTTGAATTTTTATAGATATTACTTTTTTTTAAAAAATTATAATCAGACAAGTCAATTTTGTCATTTTTTCGATACTTTGAGAATTGAGAAGGATCCATTTTTTGCTGTTTTTATTATAACCCAGCATTTTAACAGAACGTCTCATACTATTAATTTATTATCACTCTTTCCCTGTACTGTAATATAAATAACCAGTAACATAGAAAAGTGTGATTTTCAGTATTAAAGTTTTGTTTCAGGAACTGAGAAAAATTTGTTTTTTCTGTTTTTCTTTTTTTAGGCATTCTTATTATGACTGAGCTTTTTTTAAAAAATAAAGTTACAAATAAAATTTATTTTATAGCAATTTTTTTTCTTCTAAAATTATGGCAATGAGAAAAATTTAAAGTGAGATTTTCAGCATAAGTTTTTCATTTAAAAAATTAAGAACGTTTTTTCTATCTTTTTATTTTCTTTAAATAAAAACAAAATTTTTTTAGACGTTTTCATTATAACGCAGTAATTTTTAATAGCATTTCTGTTGACTTAATTCTTTTTTCTTGGCTTTTTCTGGTAATTGAAAAACTGAGATGTTCAGCTTTAAAAAAATTTTTTCAAAAATTAAGATTGATTTTTATGTCCTCTGTTTTACTTTTCGACATTTTCAAAAACGTTCTTGATTGGCCTTATTTTTGAGAGTTAATTTATGAATACGTTTTTCCAGGAAATATTATTCTGAGCATTGAAATTTTAGTTTCAGTATTGCTATGCTGGTAAAAGATTTTGCTATTTGGCCCCAAGTGTACGGCGTTCAGTCGATTTTTTCTTCTTTTTTTTGCCGAATATTTGGTTTTTGATCAAATCACAATTCATTACCACATTCGACCAAATCATATTCGTTTTGAAATAAAAACGTACGAAAAATAACTAGGATTTACGATAAAACTGTACTGAAATACCATATCAAAAAGTGATTATTTAAAAGCGCGATTAACAATCACGTGTCGTAATAACATCATAGTTAAATAACGGGATCGTCAAAATCATGTGGTGAAGTATAGAAATAATTGGGAAAAAATATATTTATGCTGAACTCAGCACGAATAAAGCGTGTCAAATGCATGATTTGAAATTTGCACGTCGTAATAGAATAATTGGAATTTTTTATAATACGTGGGAACGCATAGCAATAATTGCTGAAAAAATTTTTGAAAAAAAAAAAGACGCAAAAAAGAATTGCAAAAAAAAGATAAAAAATCACTTAGATTTAAGATGAAATCGTCAGAAATAAAGTGCACAAAAAGTGATTATTTATATATGTGATCTGAAACTCGCGTCGTAATAAAAATTCGGGATTTTCGAAATCACGAAGAAAAGCGGAAATAACTGTATAAAAAAAAATCATTTATATTTACGATAAAATCGGCTTAAAGAAAGCTCGTTAAACGTAAATTTACTAAAGAATCTGTTAAAATTGATAATGTCAAAACGTGATGACTTGAAATTGCGATTAAAAATTGCCATTTTTTAAAATTTTTTATTGTGTTTAGAAGCTCTCGCGGGCCGCAGGTTGTGCTCCCCTAATGTAATGCAATGTAATGTAATGTAAGTTTTATTCTAGTCCATTTAGATATAACGAGACTATTGCAGAACAACTGAAAATATTAAAGCTAAATTGAATTTTTCTAATTATTAGAATACTATAGTTATTTTTTAATTACCTTTATTGATTACAAGATCCTCATAATTCACTATGTGAAGGGATATTTTATACGTCACTCAACTATTTATTAAAAGGAAAATAGTTCTGTTCCGCCCCCCCCCCCACTTACCCAATGGTTCAACTTCCATTAATTTTCTTAATGCAACATAGTTTTTTAATGAAATGTACGTAAAATGTTTTCCATTTCAGTACAAAAAAATATTACAACTATTTCGCAATGGCAAGAGTACTTAACTCGAGAGTTAACTTGGCTTTTGAGTTAGGTTTATAAAATAATGGTAATGTTTTTGTTTTTTAAGTCCTTGTCTTTTCGCATTCACAATATAATGGAGCGTAGAAAGCTGGTGGCCAAGCGTTTTCTGATCCTGACAACTGTCTTCGCTATCTGCTGGATTCCATACAACATAGCCACTCTGCTACTAGACCTGCAGGTAGGTCTATTTCAGATAGGTAACAAAAATTTAAATTTTATGAATTTATTCCTCAAAATAATGCAGTTAACATTAAGCTGATTAAACAACTATTAAACACTTTTAGAAAAAATAATTTTGAACAGAAATACTTAAACAAAAGCTTTCAGGGGTTGTTGGAATGAAAGATGCAAAAATATTTAAAAAAATGTTGTTATTGTCGTCTGCCATTAAAGAAGAGAGGGTGCGATTGTTCGTGTTTTCCAGTGATGCCATGTATGGCCAAGAATTTAACTTCTGCCACACGTCGCAATCGTCTATAGGGCAAACCCATTCATTCATCTACAGATCGTAATTTTGACCTGAACCAGAGAATAATCAATTTCTTATTCCGCACCCCCCGTTATAATTCTTCGCTCAAAATACGCTCATATCCATAAATTAGAGATAATGCCAGCTCCGGGAAATAAGGTTCAGAAATAAAACAATCGTGACTTATTCATGAAGCTCATTTATTAAACAAAAAATATAAAGAATCAAAAAGATGATGTGCGTATTATAATATATAAAAACACATATCATATATATATATATATCAAATTATCGAGCTGATCTTACAATTACTCCAATCATCAAGCAACGCTCTCCAAAGCTCCGGTACACATGTTGGAGGTGATTGAAAGGTTGCAAGTGGTCAGCCAAGCATGTCCCACACATACTCTATCGGATTCAAGTCAGGTGAGAATGCTGGCCATTCCATACGGATGATATCTCAGATTGAAGGCATTTGTTTACGATGTTTGCTCGGTGAGAACGGAATTGTCATCTATGACACTAATTCAGTACCAATGGCACCTCTAAACAAGAGTACACAATACTCCAGAATGATTTCGCGATAAATTTGCCATGTCATGATTCTGATTTGAACATGCAGATCCATTCTGGAGCGCAGTATAATTATATCTCGAACGAGCAACCCTACGTTATCGTTTAATGATGCAGTTGGTAATGGCTACCCGGTGTTCTCCATATGAAATTATAACGTGATTAGACTGTTAGAGCTAAACCTGGACTTGTCCGAAAACATCATACAAACTCACTGTGATGATGTTTACATTGCATGTTCTCTACCCTGGGCTAATCACTGGCGACAGTGAGCGGAACATACCTGACAGGCCTGCTAGTACATAGATCAATATTTTCAAACGCCTGTACACGGTTGGCGTTGAAACTCTGGTACACGTGGCTGCAGACAGCTGGCAAGACTGGTCGGATGCTGTGCTCCGACTCTTTCTTGACACCGGTTTTCATTCGGCGTTGTAACTCGTGAGCGTTCTGTAACGTCCTTCCAATATTTTGCAATCGTTGTGAAAACTTATGAGCGGCGAAGGCTCAGGAGACAGAGCGTTCGCCTTCCTATGAGGTGAGCCGGATTCGAATCCCAACGATGCCTGGTTGATACGAATCCGCATTCGGCTTGCACCGACCACAGTGCTGACGTAAAATATCCTCAGTGGTAGGCGGATTATGGGTTAGAGTCCCTTAGCAGTCAATCTAACCGTGGGAGGTACTCGAGGTCTTCCTCACCATGTAACGCAAATGCGGTTAGTTCTATCAAAAAGTCCTCCACGAAGACAAATTTCCCCCGATACTTGATCCAGGAGTTATCTTGCCTTCTGCATTGGGTTCACAATTACAAGGCTACGTAGTTGAACATTAGTAGCCTGTTAAAATCCAAAAAATTGGGTCTGCCGTTCAACGATGGAAAAAAATAAAATAAAATTACAAGTTCCTCGGATACTTCCATCTAAGTACGTCCTGATTCCAGGCGGCTAGTAATTCAATCACGTAAAGTCCCGCAGGGGACTGATCGCTAAGACACGGTTCTCAGCAGATCACCGAAGTCAAGCATCACTGGCTATGGTCAGTGTGATTTATTTTAAGTTCTAAAATNTTGGTCCTCGTTAAACTGTGCTACCGTAAAGTGCTCGACTTCGCGCGCAGGTCGTCGGGCTACCGAAGCGGGGGTGCCATCCCCTCCGCAGAGGATCAAAATTGTGATAGCATGTCTTCGGATCATCCTCCGGGATGCTTCCCAGACCGTCGCCAATAGCCCATTGTCCAGCTCTAGTGCGACGTAAATTAACAACAACAATCAATCACGTAAAAAAATCATCCACGTGCGTCCTCTGTGTCCTTACTATTCATTTATGGCGTTAAGCTGCTTACAAAACGCTTACGAACAATTTTACTTCTTTGACACCATTACTTAGATACTCGTTTCTTACACTCACCTCGTTGCGATGTACGATCAGCTTCATCTGGTGGTTTCTTGATGATTATTCTTGATGATGTGCGAGATAATTTTACAGATGAAATTTTCACTTTAGAATTCCGTGTGATTCTGAGTTATCTTAAATGCATGGACATGAGTGTCTTTTACGCTTTTTCTCTCATATACTCACTGATCCAGCTACCCAGATAGCAAAATAAGATTTATTTTCACTCAGCAAAAACCTCTTACTGTATGCCTAAAAAGGTTTTTATGCGGTTTACGTGTGAACCTTCTAATCTTAAAGCAAAATCTGTGACAATCTGATCTATTCTACGCACATTACCCTAATCCAAAACCTTGAAAACAATCTTTTGTACAAAAACCTTAAATCGAGGTTGATTTAGGGTTTTCAAGCGTGAAAAAAATCCATTAGTAAAGCTAGTCTCAAGGTGAAAATAAATTTAAATCTAGGTAATTGTAAGGTTTCTTTTCGCAACGTCTTGAATGCTCAGCTAAACTCCACCTTGTCATGAAATTTTAATTGACAGTGTAATTTGATCCTATCGCAAGTGTGACGTCAGATAAAACGTCATTATGGACCTAAGTGACCATTTTACCTAAGTGACAATACTTTTAAAAAAAAAATAATTTTTAATACTTTTGGGATGAAAAGTTTGAAACTGCAATAATTTTGCTTTATTGAAAAAAAGTTTTTAGTTCAATCATTTTCGTGACAATTAAATGAACAAGGTTGCCATAAGGTCACAAGCTTTCTGGATACCCTGTAACTCATTTGCCACCATACATTTATTATGGTGAAGCTTGTGTCACTTGTTACAGTGTACGAGGGTTGCTATTTATATTTCTGGCCTTGGCAACAGTAAGTGTTGCTAGGCGACCGCAGACGATTTTAATCGAAAGTTTGATATTTTTAAACATAAATTCAGCAGACGATTTACCATTATAGCTTCATTTGTGTTGTTGACAGTAAATTGAAAAGTTCTTCTCTTTCAAAAAATGGAATTGAATCGTGAACATTTTCGTGCCATTATTTTTCATAACTTTCGACGTGGATTGTCAAGACAAGAGTGCTTCGATGAACTTAATTCTTTATTCAGCGATAAAGCGCCATCCTACAGCACTGTAAAAAATTGGTATAACGAATTTAATCGTGGTCGATGTTCGATCCAGGACGAATCCCGTGCAGGTCGTCCAAAATCCGTTGTTGTGCCAGAAAAGATCGATGCTGTGCGTGAACTGATAAAGCAAGATCGTCATGTGACATACCGTGAGATAGAGGCGTCTTTGGACATTAGTATGACTAGCATCAATAAAATATTGCATGAACATTTGAGCGTAAAAAAAATTTGTTCGCGTTGGATCCCGCATAATCTGACAAACGCTCAAAAAAAGGCTCGTGTCGATTGGTGCAAGGAAATGTTGGAAAAATACGTTCAAGGTACATCAAAGGCTGTGTATAACATCTACACAGGTGACGAATCATGGATCTATGCATATGAGCCGGAAACAAAACAGCAATCAACTGTATGGGTCTTCCAAGACGAGGCAAAACCAACAAAAGTTGTTCGAGGAAGAAGCACATCGAAACAAATGATTGCCTGTTTCTTCGGCATTAACGGTCATGTGGCAACAGTGGCGTTAGAGCAACGCAGGACGGTCAATTCTGAATGGTACACGACCATTTGTTTGCCAGAAGTCATCGGAGAAATTCGAAAAAAGCAGAAGAACAGGCGAATCATTCTTCATCATGACAATGCGAGCTCTCACACATCGACTCAAACAAAGGCATTTCTGACGGAGCGAAAGATCGAACTGATGGGTCATCCGCCGTACAGCCCTGATTTGGCACCCAATGACTTCTTCTTATTCCCACACATCAAAAATAAATTACGTGGACAACGATTTTCGACCCCCGAAGAAGCGGTTGATGCATTCAAAACGCATGTTTTGGAGTTACCTCAATCGGACTGGAAAAAGTGCTTTGAAAATTGGTTCAAACGCATGCAAAAGTGTATTGATCATCATGGAGAATATTTTGAAAAACAATAAAACCAATTTCGATCCTACATATTTATTTTTTCATTATTAGGCCAGAAATATAAATAGCAACCCTCGTAACACTATGATGGCCAACTATTAAAATTAATAAAAAACTTAAACTGCAATAAATCATTTACCATTAGTTCGCCAGCAATCTATGAAAACAGAGAGCATTTAATTAATTATTCTCAAGCTGATTTGTCAACATACTAAATCAGTATATTGAAACCTGTGTTATTTTCCCATTTGCTACAGGACTTTGATGGTCTATGATTAGAAACAAAAAGAAAGGCTTAAATTCCAAATAGATCGATTGATATTAAATAGCAGATATAAATGGAATTAGATCGCATTACACTCAAGCTTATTTGTCAACATACGGAATAAATCTAGTGAAGCCTCGCTATTTTGTTACAGAATTTCACTGTAACAAATGAATTTATTCGGATTATAAAAATAAAAGACATCGGCCAAAATCAAATATTATATCATTCCGAAATAAATCTCGATAGAATTATATTATCTGATATAACGAATACGGTCAGTCTTTCCTGTTCTGTGATATAAATGACATTTTTAGAGTAATGGAAGCTACAATAGAAACTTAAATTACGCCATTTCAAACATAATATTTTCTTGTTTTATTTATTTAATCTTTTTTACAAAATTTATTTAATTTCGTGAAAAATGACTGTTTTACAGTAGGTTTCAAAAAAAATTTAGCATAGAAAAACAAAATTATTTTTTTGTTGTTTGAAGGTCATAAAAATTTCGAGCAAATTCAGAGTAAAAAACGCCAACCTGTGATAAACTTAAGAAAAAAATGGATGAAAGCAATCACACTACAAATAATTATTTGATAATCTTTCAAGCATTTTACCTTAAAACTCATTTTTTAAGATGAATAAATAAATAACTGATGATGAGTAAACAAATACCAAAAAAGAGGAGATTTCCGTATCGTGATCTGTGGCAAAATAATCGCCCAAGTCTTGGCCACTTCCGGGTAGCAGACAGCTAGAAGCTTTTAAAAAAACATCACAGAAACTGATCAACTCGTAGCCACCCCCGGGCAAACATCCACATGTATATATATATTTTTTTTAAATTGCAAGTTTAAAATTTATTTGGCACATTGGCGATTGTAGTTGGCGTGACAGATCACGATACGCAAATATCCCCAAAAAAGATAGAGGAACCGTCCTGAAATACTATTGTTGACAGAGAATAAATAATTACAGGTGAGTGCTGGCGATGTGTATAGTCATCTGGAAGCATTCCAGCCTTTCGGATTGTTGCTGGGACACATTAACAGCGCCATCAATCCGTTGTTGTACTGTTGGGTGAATAAGAGATTCAGAAAATGCGTCGCCCTCACTTTTAGGTGTACAAAGACAAGAGACGCCGTTTGGGACAGAAGAGACATTTTCCAATGCCAAGTAAGTTCCATTCACCCAAGTCCCATATACTCTTTGTTTAGTCCAAGTCAAAATTCTTGATGGTCCCATTGAAGCATTTTGATGGTTTATGTTGGTTTCAATGCGATTCAAGATGGTCCAACATCATTCGATGGCCACCATCATCCAACATTTTCCATTCTGCGTTCATGGTATTTGATATGCGAACAAACTTCCAACATCCCATGATGGAAAATGCTACTTTAATACTATGATGGTTAATCCACAAGAGAAGTTTGATTTTCATGAACCAATAATCCGTGATGGTCCATGGTGGTTCCAACTATACATTTTTACTATGGTTTAAGGAGAATTCTTGTTGGTTCTCAGGAATATACCATCAAAACAATTTTTTTTGTAGGACCATCAGTCCGGATTCTTACATTGGGGTGATGGTAGTTCACGTTGATTTCGAAGAAATTTTGATGGAAATTTCTGATGGTTTAACTTGAACAAACCATCAAAGCAAACAGCTATTCTTATGTTGGATCATCATAAATCAGTCCGAATTCCTACATTTGGGTGATGGTTACTTATGTTGGATACCATCAAAAATTTAATGATTCATGATGGAATTATTGATGGTCACCATCAAGATTATGTTAGTCCATCAGTGGAAAACCATCAAAAATTTTGACTTGGGAGGCGTGTCAAGGTTACGTTTTCCCCTTCTCTCCGTTACCATGGTAATAGCTAATCTTGCTTTTTTCCTTCACATATTTATTCCAAGTTCTTACTGCAACTTAGAGTCGTGGGAAAAAGGAAGATTTTCCGGAATCAAGGAAGTGGTGAGGGTGAAAAATATGGAGAGTGGGGAAATCGTGCAACCTTGAGACGCCTAATCTGCGTTACAATTGAAAGAACAAACACACTGTTTCACGATCGATTTTGAGAGAATTGGCTTGGCAACTATTTTCCTCTCACAACATTAAAATAGAATTTCAAAAAACTAGTGAAAGCACCTTAAAAGCGTAACTGGCACACTAGACACCTGACTATAATAAATCGTAATTTTATAGGCACACTAAACACCAGAATATAATAAGACAGTCTTAACCCTGTCCCGCCCCCGTGGGGGGCATTCAGGGGCTACTAGTGACTCTGTGCGCATTCGTGACTGCTTCAGTAGAGAGATGGACACTTAAAGGTGTGGCTTAGCAACGACGAATGGCAACACTGGCGAAGATGGGCAGCCAGTGATTTGGGCGGCACTCAAGTCAAGTGAAGCACGGGAAATAATCAAAACAAAGGATACTTATAATGAGAGTTTTTAGTCTGATACCAAGTCTGGTTGCTGCACGCGCAAAGCAGCTTCGCAACCCATTGAAGCCCTGCCCCCGTCCTAGAAGGCGTAAAGATTTATTAAAGAAGCAATAAAAATTTACCAAGTTTACAAAAATACAATAAGAACAAAAAACCAATACAAGAACTAGGTAGCAAAAAAAATAAAAATCTAGAAACAGATGAAAAGATGATCGTTACATAAGGAAAAAGCACTCCCCATATTGAAAGAATGGTTGGTGGTGCGGCTCATAGTAGTAAAGTGGAAATTCACCAGAATATAAGCAAGACTTGACCCTGTCCCGCCCTCGTAGATGGCATCCAGGAATTACTGGAGATTATCGTTGGTGCAATCCTCGAATCAGTCGGAGGACCCAGTGGTGCATAGACACGAGGATCCATGGCCCTGAGTCACACACGACATAGAGCAACACAATCTTCGATGAGCAGAAGAGGCCGAATGGGACGAACCCGAGTCGGTTCCATACTCAGCTGCAGACGACTCACTAGCAGTGTGGCACCGAGAGACAACCGCCACGCCACGACCCCTCAAGGCATCCTCTGACTGGAAAGTTCCCAAAACCACTTTGAACTTTATTAAAATACAAACAGAAAAGGGGCCACCAGCTCGGTGGCCTAACAAAATTCGATATAACAATTATTACAATGTAAGCACCTAGGAAAGAGGTGGAGGACGCCATTTGTCGGCTTACAAAAACGTGGGGCTAGTATTTAATCTTCCTTTGAAGACTGGAGATTGCTCGCTGGTAAGAAGGGCTATTTCTTTTAAAAGCTGGATGGTTTGAGCTTAGTTTAGAACCAAATTTTTGGTTTACCGCTTCGCAGTTTACACACTTGCTCTTGTTTTTACAGGTGCTCGTTTTGTGCCCTTCCTCCCCGCAGTTGACACAACATTCTTTATTTGTGCAGTCCCGTGCCGTGTGTCCAAAGACGTTGCATCTATAGCACCGTAATGGTCGTAGGTACTCTTTCAGTCGAATGACCGACCATCCAGAATATAATAAATCGTAATTTAACTGGCACACTAGACACCAGAATATAATAAATCGTAATTTAACTGGCACACTAGACACCTGCATATAATAAATCGTAATTTTACAGGCACACTAGACACCTGAATATAATAAATCGTAATTTAACTGGCACACTAATCGGAAAAGCTTCGCCATTTCTGTTCTTAAGGATTTCAGAGAATTGCTATTGAAACGTTCTTGACCATTTCTATTTCAGGAGTATCCGATGACCATGGCCGCTAGTCTTCGCTCCTCCTCCCTTACCTGGAAGAAGTCTTTCAGGAAGACAGATTCGAGTGAGAAATCTCGAAGGAACAATACACCCACGAGTGCCACTCTGGATTCAGGAGTATCGATCATCAGAGACTAAATAACATTTAATGAATTTTATAGGACGACTCATGAGTCAATCTACCTGTTGCATACTCATGGTATTTGAGTGATTTTCAAATTTAAGGCATTTTTGAAACTGAAATGACTTGAAAAATAAAATTAATCATTCTTGCTGATTGATTCTTGTATATTTCCTGGCACATGTTTCAACAGTCAGCAACAAGAATGAATAAAAATTTAGATCAGTGGGAATTTTATAAATCATCACTACACTAAAAGTACATTAACAAGTAGCATACCGGCCAATTTTGTAAAATTGAATTCTTTTTTACTACCACGAGTAGACTTTTTAAACTTCGGACATTATGAATCAAATATAGTACACAGCCTTATTTTGTATATGATATATAGTAAGAGTCTCATTAATTAACTTTAAAAAGTTGGTAACAGACTGGACAATATTAAAAAAAAATACTCACCTTTAGAAAATCCAAAAATCTTGAAAAGTAATCTTTCATCTCAAGATCGCTTTTGAAAATGATTATTCTCACATACTACATCATGAATGCAATCTTAAAAAGTGTACTGAGTAATTTTAAAAAGAATTATCTTTGGTAACAAACCGGACACTTTTCTTGGACAGCACAAAACAATTAATGTGTACCAGGAATAATTAAATTGAAGATATTTACTAGATCTAAAAAAATTTATAACTACTAATAGAAAAATAAACGTTAGGCAACTTCTAATACTGTATATAATAACTCTTATTCGTTTGTATTTTTGGGAACCACAAACATCTAAGACAAAAAGCTATTACATTCTAGAATAAAAAATATTTTTTTGTCGGACATCAAAAATGCCTCAATCTTGAAACCCACCCAACTATAACAAACAACATTGTGATGATTGATGTTTGTAAATCTTGAGAGAAGACAAATTCGAATTGAGTGAAAGATCTCGAAGAAATAATAAAATCTAGATTCAAGAATATCGACCAACAAAGACTAAATGAGATCAGTGAATTTTATAAAGGCGATTCTCAGTATTTGTCTATCTACGACTTACTTTTGAAAATGTTGTTCGCAAAATTGGATGAGAAACTATTTTACCCTTGTTAATCTTTCGTTACGAGAGATTTGAATAACTCCATAATTCGCTGGCAGAAGTTTGTTCCAAACTCAATTCATGTCTAGAGAAAAACAAGGACTAAATAAGATTAGTGAACTTCCTAAAAGCAACTTATAAGTCTTTGTTAAAATTTTATCTAAAATAAACAGCATTGAAATGAAGTTTTTAAAGCTTGTTAGTCGTCAAATAACTCGAGAGAGAGAGAAATCGCTGGAACAATACACCAAAGAAGGATTGAAAGTCGATTACTATTAACATCTACAACGATCATAAATTTGACATCAAACTGGTGTTTTCCCTCCCTTCTTTCTCATTAGTTATTCAACAGATTTCGATGGCGTGTTTGTTTCTTCATTAGCAACCTCACATGCGAACACCTCTTGACTTGATTTTTTTTTTTTTTTTATAAAGAATGTAAAAACACATATAAGAGAAGAACGTTACAGAACAACCCTGCATAATACATATATTCAACATTTGTGTGCTTAAAGAACCAACTCAAATTATTAATGGTGATAAAATTTGGGAAGCTTAATTGAGCGCATGAACATTAATTTTCTTTCAACCGAGGACAGATCTCGACCAGCTTCTTCTTTCATCAAGTCATCTCAACTCTATGGTAAACATTATTATGGTATCTCACCACAGCACATCGACATTTGTAAACATTTTTCATTACTGTAGAACTGAGTGTAATATGATAATATTCTGAAATGGAATAATAAAAACTACCGGAGTTTCCCTCTGCTTATGAGACATGTGAACGGGCTTGATATTCTATGCTATGTTGCAAGCTTAAAAAAAAAATTGTGGTGTAGGATTTAAGTAATCATTCACAACTGCATATAATTCCTTTATCAAATTATACAAAAATGCTTTCAAAATAGTAAAAGCTTTTAAAAGTTAAACACATCAGACAGAAATTTAACTCGCACTGTCTTATACGATATATATCATAGAATTATTAAAAAAAAGTTTATGATTTTGTAGCCTTACTGGAATCCAAGATTTGGCGACGTATTTCGATAAACAAGGAAAACGTTCGTTCTTGAAAAAGACACAACTAGATGACGTTGCAAGAGTATTGGATTTGATTGGACCACTAAAAAAGGCGTGCCATCGCTGACATGCTTTGAACAAATCAAATGCAAAATAAATAATTTTCACTTTTGTTTCGTTGTAGGAGAAAATCATATTTATTAAGCAAGAAACAATATTAATTATTCGTTCATCAGTTTCTTTAAATGCGAACAGAAAGCTGTGTATTTGTTACGAATTTTAGATAGCATTTTTATTAATTCTTATTTCTTGCTAATTGTTGTTAATTTACGTCGCACTAGAGCTGCACAATGGGCTATTAGCGACGGTCTGGGAAACATCCCGGAGTATGATCCGAAGACATGCCATCACAATTTTGGTTCTCTGCGGAGGGGATGGCACCCCCGCTTCGGTAGCCCGACGACCTGCGCGAAGTCGAGCACTTTACGGTAGGTTTAACGAGGACCAATACCGCACAACCTCGGTCCCTACGCAGACTGATCCAAGTGGTCACCCACCCGCACACTGACCGTAGTCAGTGATGCTTGACTTCGGTGATCTGCTGGGAACCGTGTCTTAACGATCAGTCCACTGCGGGACTCTTGCTAATTGATTAATGTTGTTAATAAGAAAGAAAGCAAAAAGTAGGCTGTGCAACGTCGTTTCAAGAGTTGGCGATGTTGATATACGGCGCTGGGAGCTTGGTTTGGCGTGCACTTCGATGCAAACAGACTCACTCTACATGGATGTCTATTTTTTTTTTTTTTAACTTACAATATTTTTATTATTGAAATTCGTACTTCAATTTGAACGTAATTTTACTATAAGATTTTTTTGTTCTTTATAAATTCTAAAAGGTGGCGAGCAGTAAATGGAATTAAGGAAATTAATATCACGATACATATAAAAGTGTAGGGGTTGCCATGTTTTGAGTGTTACATTCAGTTTTCATGTCTTCAATGTGTTAACACATTGAATGGTAAATGGCGCAAGCCATAATGTATACAGTACAAGTGCAGTAACAATATAGGATGGCATATTTTTAAGCTAAGGCGTAAAAATAAATAGAAAGTAGAAACCCGGAAGTCTCATTATTAATTTAATAGTTAGTGCCATCTATTCTGAACTTAATATGTTTCTCTATCATTAATTTACAATTATTTGCGAATGTTTTTAATTTACAGCCTTGTTTTATCACATTGATAACCAAGTATGTCAGAAAAGCGGTGAATCATTATTTGAACAAAATCTACACACAATATTCAAATATCATTTTATTTACAATGTATAATACAAGTTAATAACAATATGATAGGAAACTAATATATAACTAACATAACTTAAAGTTTAGTGTCTAAAAGAAGGCATATATTCAGCTTTAATTCTATCTCTGTCAGCTGGTTGAGGGACGTGTGGTTCCAATCCTTTACGCTTTCGATCTTTCCTTACATAAGCCTAGAAATAAAACATTTCTCAAAATGTATTAAACTAGTTGATTTCGAGCAGAATCGTAAATGCATAGTATAGATATTAATTAATGTTGAGCATTCATGTAACAAACTGAACGGCATATACTTAGTCGTTAATGATAATTAAAATTTTTAACATTATTTGTTGTTCCTTCCGGTGCCTTTACATTATTAAATTTGGAATATGTTTTAAGAAGTTAAAGTCAGCAAAAGAGAGATAAACTATACTCAATATTAATCTGTACCAAAAATAATGATATTGATCAATTTAGATTTATATAACCACTTATTAAGATTTTCCACAATCAAACAATTTTAGTTTTAAACTTAACTTATCTTTAACATTTTTGCATTATTTTTCTGTTAAATAGAAACACGTTTCAAAAGCCATTTACGTTAGTTTTTCGTTAATAAAAAATCAAAGATATATTTAAATACAGTTAACATATAAAAGTGCTAATTCCTGGTAAAACTGACCTTAATGCTATTAGTTAGCAGAAATTGATGTCATCTTTTAAATAACTGAAGAAAAAAGAAAGAAAGAAGCCAGCAGATTTAATTGTAACAATGCATAATACTAAACTTAGGCGCAGTGGTCGGAAAAACTACATTTTCTTTGTAGTAAACTATAATTACTTTATTACAATTGTAGTTAACTACAAATACTTTTTTCTAAATGTAGAGACTACAAATTACTTTCAAAATGTAGTCAATACTTCGCTGCTTTTAGACGACAAGCTTAACTGGAGAACTTAACTTTCACCAATATTCAAAATGATTTTGAATAAAAAAATTGGCTCGGTTAAACATGTGGAAATATTAAGAAGTTTTAATTCGTGTTTACATGAAACAGTTTTTAATACTAAAGCACTTTTTACGAATTTGTTCTTTAAACTTTCTAATTCTATACTTTTCTCAATAGTGATTTATGAAATTCTAGGAAAATATTTGTGATTTAAGTGATCAGTGCTTTTTTATATCCTCCAAGAATTTAAGTACAGTGCGAAAAAGAAAAAGCGGATCACCCTGAATAACTTTTGATCTAATGATCGGATCTTCACGTTCTAGGACACAATCTTAATGGTTTCAGTGGGTGGCCGCAAATATGCTAATTAATTAATGCAAACTATATTTTAAGTTACGAAATTAGACACAAAAACGTACTCTATAGTTCCTGTGAAATCGAATTTTAAGAATGTCAGATATTTAAAATTCGACCGATTTTTCCTAGCATCAGATGTAGATTTTATTAACACTCGGCCACAGAGGCATTCTTATTCTTATTTGCACCAATCAGATTCTGAAAAATTTTTGCATTTGAGCTTTGTTTCTTCATTTAAATCGCTGAAAGTAATCGCTACAAACTACTGTTTTTTGTATCGCACTGCTCACTACACTTCTAACTACGAAAAAAAGTAGCGGCTACAGTAGCTTCTCTACTTGCAGTGCGATACTTCCTTCCGCTGCTTATGCGACATTAAACTTTTTGTATGTCCCTCCCAAGCGGACAGATTAAATTTTTAAAACATTTTTTAGGTTTGGAGACTAAAACTTCCCCTGACACCAGCTGTCCAAGCACAAATTGTTCTGGAGTTATAAAAGCCACACGTAAAATTTTCCTTTTAATATCATAGATACAGTTAATTGGAAGCGCGATCGCAGATACTAATACGAAGCTGCGATAATACAAAATCAAGAGATCATGTTTATTCTGCCCTCTTTTTTTAAGGAGTCATTTAGAAAAAAAATTTAATGCTAAAAGAAAGATATCTGTGTGTTATATTTTAAAGAATCATGGTGCAGAAAATTTATTAACCTCTGCCCCAAATACTAAGCTTTATTATAAAAAAAATAAGAAAAAAAAATAGTTTATTTAAAAGATATACTTTTTTCAAAAATAATAGGTGTCCCTCTCTTTCTCTCTCCGTTATCATGGTTTCGGAAAATTTTACTTTTCTTCCACACCAACTTCTTAAGCACAATATGGTGAAAAATTAAGATTTGCCGAACGGGGTGGGGAAAAGTATGGAAATCGCATCCCGTTGACTGACTTAACTAATGATATTGTTTATCATAAAATATTAAAGAAAATTATAAAGCAAATACCGAATATCCCGTTGTACAAGTCTGCTCTCTATTTTCAATTGCGAGATTGCAAAGTTCTGTACTCTGTTGCAATCTAGGAAAAAACCATTCTCCTTATCCAGGGCTAAAGAGAATAGATGGGCTAGTTCACTCCGCTCTTAGAGCTGAAGCTACGATNAAAAGATATACTTTTTTCAAAAATAATAGGTGCCCCTCTCTTTCTCTCTCCGTTATCATGGTTTCGGAAAATTTTACTTTTCTTCCACACCAACTTCTTACGCACAATATGGTAAAAAATTAAGATTTGCCGAACGGGGTGGTGAAAAGTATGGAAATCGCATCCCGTTGACTGACTTAACCAATGATATTGTTTATCATAAAATATTAAAGAAAATTATAAAACAAATACCGAATATCCCGTTGTACAAGTCTGCTCTCTATTTTTAATTGCGAGATTGCAAAGTTCTATACTCTGTTGCAATCTAAGAAAAAACCATTATCCCTATGGAGAGAATCTGTTTGCATTTAAGTGCACGCCAAATGGATGCCAAGCTCCCAGCGGGCACGTATATCAACATTACCAACTCTTAAAATGACGTTGCACTTCCTCTTTTCGTTTGCTTTCTTATTAAGATTCAATTAACAAGTATTAAGAATTAATAATGATAACTAAAAATCGTAACAAATATATGTCTTTCTATTCATATTTAAAGACACTGATGAAAGAATAATAAACATTGTTTCTTGCAGATGATTTTCTTCAACAAATTTCTGCCTGACATGTTTAACTTATAAAAGCTTTTATATTGTTTTGAAAGCCTATTTGTATAATTTGAAAACGAAATGCAGTCGCTGATGCTCACTTACATCCTATATCACGATGGTCTTTTTCTTAACTTGCAACGGAGTATAATACTATGACGGATGTATAATTAGAACGCTAGAAAAAACCAAATAAAAATATTTAAAATTATAAAACATAAACAAAATTATTAAGTTTACAAAATTTTCTAAAATTAGAAATATTTCACATTGTTCCCTCTGGATATGATACATTCGATCTCAAATGAAGACGCATAAACAAATGTTGCGTCTGCGCTGGTCTTATAAACGTCAAGCGTCAAATGATACTGGTCACATGGTTTCAAATGTAAAATCTCTTGAAAAGTGAGGAACTTCAAAGATTGGAGGAGAAGAAGCTTTTTTTTTGTAAGACTTAGGAGATGAGGATGAAGTAGAATACATTTCTAAGTGGGATCCGTATGACGATAGTATTGATTCGGACGCAATTGATGTTTCAAAATCTTGTAATTTGTAGCTCTATGGTATGTTTTAAAAGTTTCCATTGTGTTATAATTTTTGAAATATTTTCAAATAAATTATCTTAAATTTTCGCATTCTTAATTTTTTGTGATGTATTTTTAAGTATTGTCTCTAAAAAAATAACATTTATACGTTAATATAGTTTAGTGTGTGTTTACAAACAAGAAATTAACAGCTTGTAAACAAACTAATCCCATTCATAATTATCTCGATTATTATCCATGTGTATATATATATATATATATATTGGTGAAGTGATCGTGTTGTTAAACGTGGTGATGAACACGATCTGGAGCTTTTGACTTATGGGCATGGCTTAATGACTCCTGCAATTATTATTGATTAAATACTAATTGTTAATTAAAAAGCGTATTTCTCTTGCTAATTTATGGTCTCATTAATTTATTTAAATTATTATTTAAAAATGAACACGATCACTTGGAATAAAAATGCTTACCCAAAATTCTTTGCATGTCTTATAATTCTTAAAAGCTGCTTCACATTTTGATCGATCATAGTAATTATGATCTAAACAAGTTAAGGACATCTTGTGTTCCTAAAAGAGAGCAGTATTTTTATACAGTTTAATAAATCTAAATTTTTTTTTCTTCGAATCATCGGATTTTTATATACTGAACAGCAATCTTAAGAGGACGTTATTACGCGAGGAAAAACTTTTCATGGCAAATAGAACTTCACATTCATAACTAATTTAGAATTTAAAGTAAAAAGAAAAAGTGAGTTGAGTAAGACATGAAGTTCCAATTGCTTAATTTTTTTTTTCTTTCAAGATATCGAAAAGCACACAAATTATTGGAAGAGAACTTCCCCATTGCGTAATTCTATGTTATCCTCTCATTTCATTACGATATTTTGAAAATTTCTCGTCTACTCACTAAGTTTAGCTGAACTCCCTTTTTCCATATTTTAAATTACGTATCAGAATTTGTGATGAAAAGTTTCTCCCGTGTATAGGATCCTCTTAAGTGTACGCTATACCGTGGAATAAATTTATACTATATGGAAAGTAAGTAATATCATTTTATACCGACAGATGTCGGTCGGTAAGATTCAATTATATTCTGTTCATGTTAAGAACTCCTCCAGCCATTCTTCTGGAGCAGTGATGGCGACAATGGATTTGAGGTTTAACTATTCCAAGTAAGGGTTGTTAGAACTATATTTAAAGCAGGTTTTGGCTCAGGTGTGCAAGAAAAAGGGAATCGGAGAGAGAAGCTCCCCTCTTTGAAATGCGCTATTTCTTGTTTCCATAGCAACAGATTGCCTTAAACTTTGTGGCGAGGGGAGTTCTATCTATAGACACACTATAAACAATTTTATAATTCATTAATTTATTTACATACTAAGCGAATATTTATTTCTCATCTTTTACCACTTTAGCTTAGGAAAAAATAAACAATGATTTTTAATTTCAGATCGGAATATAAATATTTATATTGACCTGGCCGTGGGAGAAACGTTGACTCACCTAATAGGGGGCCCCTGAAAGAGTGGCGAACTGCCCTACTGTTAACTGAATGACGAGTGTTAATCGGCTGGGAATTGGGAAGAAAAAAATTATATTATTATCTAATACATAAGGGCAGATAGGAGTATCTTGTTTTTGCTGAATAAATCCTAATAACGACTACTTTTTTTTTACGAAAAGGAACCGTCCTTTTTTAAGTCTAAACCATACTAATTAATTAGTGCTGTAGATAATAATTTAAGTTAAGAAATCGAACATAGAAACATACTCTTTTTTGAATAAACGTGAGAATCAATACAAGGGTACTACTTGCAATTAAATTGATTAATTTTTGAGCATCGATTATCCCGCGATGCTTCTGTAAACTATTAATAAGCGATTTTACAGAAGAAAACAAAAGACAGAAATGCGTAATGCTAGTTGAAGATTAAAGGTACAGATAGATGAGATTAAAAAATCATGATTAAAAGTAAAATTGCCTGTTTCTGATCTAAACTGAGATCTAAATCTTTTTTTTCATTCTCTCAAAATCAGAGCTCAAAATTTAAGTAAAAGCAAATGATAATAACAAAACAATGATTTTTTGTTGTAAAACAAAGCTTAAAATAATTAAATATTACACAAAAACGCTCTAAAAATACACATTTTTTTAAAAAAATTAAAATTTTTCTATACAATTGATATCATTAATAGTATTTGTTTTAAGTTGAAAATGTCTTTTTTAAAAAAAAAATGGATCAAGGATCTTAAAGAGCTTTACGAACTCGATTAACTCAACTGATTAATTTAGTAGTCCGACTTAAAGAGTGTCACTACGTTCTCGGAGTGGTGGTATATACGAAAGATGTCATTGTGTTTGGACTGCTAAAGGATCAAATTTCTTGCTTATGGTAGCCCGTATGGTAGTAAATAATTTAAATTAGTAAAATTTTAAAAAATTCGAGAATTTTTTTTCCTCAAAATTCCCTGATTTTTCCAGGTTTATATCCAAATTCCCCGATTTTTTCAGTCGACCTGAATCACTCTGCTTGAGCCGTGGTAGCTCAGATGATAAAACACTTGTCTCCTAATGAAGCGACCCAGGTTCAAATCCCAACGATGGCTTGCCGATGCGAATTCTACCCCATAGTGCTAATGATAAAAATCGTCAGAGGTAGACGGACTACGTGTTAGAGTTTCCTTGAGGTCAGACTAACCGTGGAAGGTTTTGTGGTTTTCCTTTTCATGTAATGCAAATGCGAGTTAGTTCCACCAAAAAGACTACGCTGAATGCAAATTTCTTCCAATAGTTCCCTTGTCTTCTGGATTGGGTCAAAATTACAAGGTTGCAGAGATGAAAACTGGTAGGTAGTCATTAACTCAAAACTGGGTCGGCTGCTCAACGACGATTATAAAATAAAATCACTCTGCTTCACAACTGTAGTGATGAACTCAAAAACCTTGTGGGGACAACATTAGACTTGGAATTACTTCCCAACGTGCTTATAAGGGTCAATGGTACAGAATAAATATACCATGTGTGATATTTAGTTGCCTATATTAGAAACTGAGAATCAAAAACATAGACCAGTGTTTGCTAAAATTTATATTTTTACTTTCAACTCCACACTACTCTCCCTCCATTTTGCTGTGATATTCTCAGAAAGTAAATGTTTGTAAAGTTTGTCTATTGTGAGAACTCCCCCCGCCACAAACTATGAGGTCGTTTGTTGCTATGGAAACAAGAATAGCGCATTTCAGGAAGTGTAGCTTCTCTTCACTCTAGGGTTAACATAATAGACCGAAAAAAAGATTCCCTTTCTCTCGACGACCGGAGCTTACAACCTGTCCTAAACAATGACCCCACACACCTACTTGAAATAATTATACCTCGTTACCATAGTCACAGCCACGGGTCCAGACGAATGGCTAGAGGAGTTCTTACTTTAGACAAACTATAATTCATTTACTAAGAAAGGAAGAAAATAGTAAAATGAGAATAATGAAATTTAAAAAAATAATAAAGATAGAAAATATTAAAGTGTTTTGTGAAATTATAAAAACTTAACATTACTATTAGATTTCATCAAGAGTATATGCAATCAAAAAATGTAATTTCATTAAAAAAAAAAATTACAGTATGGTGTTTTGGTTACCACAAAAGTGAAGAAATCGCTTATTCTGCAGATGCAGTTGGCTTATTCTACAGATTCTAGTGTACAGATCAACTAAAGTAATCTGTTAAAGTTCCCAAAAAATAGTTCCATTTCTCAAATTAAGTAATCTGCAAACTACCTAGATAAACCGCATATTACGTACCAAGCACTCGTTAAAATTCAAAATAAGATTTTTGCTGTTATAACAGCAACGTTTCTTCATGCTTAAACTATCAATCCTATTTAATTTTTGCTGTCCATGAAATCAAGTGAGTACAGTCAATCAACATATTAGTTGATATAATCAATCACTTTAAAAACTGTAATACAAAGAAACAAATGGTTCAAATGTTATTACAATTAAGAAATATTAACTTGTGTCATTTTTCGACAAATAAAAAAAAATAATTTAAAATTGCCAACAAATTAGTTGATAGAATAAGAGAAATAAACTTTAATGATACTGTAGTCGTCAATGTGCACATTCAGGGTGCGTAACTAAATCTTTCAACAACTTTTAAGTACTTTTCAAGCACTCTAAAAATATCTTTAAGTACTATATACATTAACAAAATGCAAAATAATTTTCAAAGACTTTACATGAGCATGATAAAATAACTAGTTTCTGACAAAGAACGCTTCTTGATTATATTAGCCATTATAAAATGATCAAGAGATTTTTCGGTTCGATATCAGAGGATGGAAAATGTAGTCTGAAATTGAGAATATCTTCAAAAAGTGCAAGTTAGACGGAAATGAAGTTTGACTCGAGTAAATATATTACTAATTTTCACTTTATGATCTTAACTTTTCCTTTTTAGAAAGAGGTTTTAGTTTAATTTGCTCCTAATTATAACGAATTGAAGGTTAAGTATCAAAGCAATTGAGAGAGGTTAAGCCAATTAGCTCGTTGCAAAACTAGCCATCTATAAGACCCTAAATTTCTATTTTTTAACTGTGATTATATTTTGTTGCCATATAATATTACCCAAACTATAAAGAAATCTTTATAGTTCTTTCTAGATAGCAGGTATTAGATGTAGCATAGTTCTGAAAGTATTGAATCATACTTAAAAATTACACTCTTAAAATTTTAACAAAGACTCATCCAAAAAAAATAAATTTAATTTTTCACCTCATTTAAAATATGTTTGCCACATGACCTTCTAATTGTTGCACCTTACAACCTCACCACTGTAAATCATGGATTAATATACAGGATGCAGGAAGAAAGAGGATACACATAAAAGAGCACAGTTTTTTTAAGAGCCCATAATATTCAAGGCTCCTAAATTTTTTAACAATAAAAATATAACAAAAAAAATTTTTTAAACAAAATGTTATAAGCATTCTAAAAATTTTCCGTGTTCTAATTTAATATTGTAATAATAAGGTACTGTAACGATTAAGCACTCCAATAAGTGAAAACTGAAATTAAAATTTAAATGTCATAATAATATTTAAAAAAAGAAAAAGAATGGAATTTTAAAAATCATACGAAAAGAATCCTAAAGGAGAAAAATAGCTGTCAATCCGAAAGTCCCAGCGTCCAAAAATATTTAAAACAGTAGCAAATAATAACCTAATAACAATTTAAATCATAATTAATTTATTTAATTTTACCCACTGTCTTCTTTGCACAATTAGGTTTATATATATATAGGATTCACGCCAGTATGGCTACAATTGATGCAAAATGTTCCACAAATGTCGCTAAAATCACACACATAGGCGACAAATTTGGTGTTTTGAAGTATGTTCTGAATTTGCAAAATAGTATAAAAATTATTTTTTTCATTGAATTACATTTAAAAAAATTTTTTATTGTTCTATCATATTTGTTCAATGCAAGGTTGTAATTCAAATGCACGGTATTTAAAAGAAATAACAGAGAGTGTCTCAACAAAAATTTTTAAACTTAAATGGTGAAATTTCAAATTTAGATGTTGTGCAGCACTTCGGAATCGCTTACTGACATTATAATTGTTCATTAATAAAATACCCTTTCAAAATTAACTTTATTTAAAATTTAACAATGTTTAGATAATTAATTTTCAATGTAATATTTTGTCTGTTCTTACTTTCTAGTGGACCACTTACCTTATGGACCACACTAAATTTGCATTGCTGGTGTGAATACTATATATGTTTAAGTTAAGCAGAAAAATCCTTTTAATTTTAAATTATTAAATCAATAACAAAATATTAAATTAAAAGCCATTCAAAATAATCAATTATTAATGTTCCAATAATTCAGAACAAGATAGGTATGTAAAACGATGGAAAAGAAAAGACACAGATTTGGGATGGAATTGTCTTGAACCGCGTGCTCTAAGAAGGGATAACTATCATTTAAGACTCGTGAAGATTTTCATCTTGCAAAAAACATTAGAGTTTAGAACACTATGAGAAAATAAATAAATAAAATAATTTAAAAACCAAACCATAAGAATTTGCAAACAATTTTTGCTACAGGTTTTTTTTTCTGTTACTGGCATTTGATTTTTCAGATAGCAATTCGCTAGTCGATGAAATTGTGCCCTGCACATATCAATACATCACTGAGGTGACAAAAGTAATCGGATGACAATAGGCAAATATACAGATGGCAGCAGTATTGCATACAAAATGTATACATGAGTAGCGCATTNACTGAAATTAAAGTTTAAATGTCATAATAATATTTAAAAAAAGAAAAAGAATGGAATTTTAAAAATCATACGAAAAGAATCCTAAAGGAGAAAAATAGCTGTCAATCCGAAAGTCCCAGAGTCCAAAAATATTTAAAACAGTAGCAAATAATAACCTAATAACAATTTAAATCATAATTAATTTATTTAATTTTACCCACTGTCTTCTTTGCACAATTAGGTTTATATATATATAGGATTCACGCCAGTATGGCTACAATTGATGCAAAATGTTCCACAAATGTCGCTAAAATCACACACATAGGCGAAAAATTTGGTGTTTTGAAGTATGTTCTGAATTTGCAAAATAGTATAAAAATTATTTTTTTCATTGAATTACATTTAAAAAAATTTTTTATTGTTCTATCATATTTGTTCAATGCAAGGTTGTAATTCAAATGCACGGTATTTAAAAGAAATAACAGAGAGTGTCTCAACAAAAATTTTTAAACTTAAATGGTGAAATTTCAAATTTAGATGTTGTGCAGCACTTCGGAATCGCTTACTGACATTATAATTGTTCATTAATAAAATACCCTTTCAAAATTAACTTTATTTAAAATTTAACAATGTTTAGATAATTAATTTTCAATGTAATATTTTGTCTGTTCTTACTTTCTAGTGGACCACTTACCTTATGGACCACACTAAATTTGCATTGCTGGTGTGAATACTATATATGTTTAAGTTAAGCAGAAAAATCCTTTTAATTTTAAATTATTAAATCAATAACAAAATATTAAATTTAAAGCCATTCAAAATAATCAATTATTAATGTTCCAATAATTCAAAACAAGATAGGTATGTAAAACGATAGAAAAGAAAAGACACAGATTTGGGATGAAATTATCTTGAACGGCATGCTCCAAGAAGGGATAACTATCATTCAAGACTCGTGAATATTTTCATCTTGAAAGAAACATTAGAGTTTAGAACACTATGAGAAAGTAAATAAATAAAATAATTTAAAAACCAAACTATAAGAATTTGCAAACAATTTTTGCTACAGGTTCTTTTTTCTTTTGTTACTGGCATCTGATTTTTCAGATAGCAATTTGCTAGCCGATGAAATTGTGCCCTGTATATATCAATACATCACTGAGGTGACAAAAGTAATCGGATGACAATAGGCAAATATACAGATTGCAGCAGTATTGCATAAAAAATGTATACACGAGTAGCGCATTCGCAGAATTTTTGCGTTCAAGTTATTTATCTGAGAATGTTTCTGATATAATTAAGACTACAAGACGAGAATTAACAGACTTTGAACACCTGTACTTAATGACTGACACCGTCAGTACATGTAGAAGTGTCATTGCTAACAGACAAGTAATATTGCATGAAATAACCAAAAGCATCAATGCGGGTCAGCAAATAAAATGAGATTTGGCAGTGGTAGACCAATTCGGGTGCCTTTAAAAACATCTTGATCAACAATTTTATTGTGATAGTACTATTAAAGCATAACATAAATATATCATTTTACAGTATTTTATTACTCGATTTACTAATTTTTATTACTTCTCTAATTATTTTTCTATGTACCGAAATATTTTATGTTCTTGAATATTTTTAAAGAATTCACTATATTCTCCAGAATCGCTTTGTCAACCTCATCATCAGTCGTATTTTATTTATTTCGCACTAGAGTTGCACAATGGGCTATTTACCACAGTCTGGGAAATGTCCCGGAGGATTCTCCGAAGACATGCTATCACAATTTTCATCCTCTGCAGAGGGGATGGTTCCTCCGCTTTAGTAGTCTGACGACCTGCAATTGAAGTCCAGCACTTAACGATAGAACATTTTAATGAAAACCGATACTGCACACCGTTGGTCTCCATGTAGGCTGATCAAAGTAGTCACCCACCCGTTTACTGACCACAGGCAGTGATGATTAATTTCGGTGTTCTACTGGGTCTTTACAATCAGTCCACTGCAGGACTACTTATTAGTGATTAATTCTTTTATTTATTATGATTACAATGAATTTTTTATATTATGTATTTCATGAAATTCTTCCCAATTACTTCTCAAATCTAGTTATTAATGATTAATTCTCTTACTTATTATCATTAAAATTAATTTTTTTAGTTATGGCTTTGAATTGATAGCCTATTTTCACCTAATCACTACATATTATATACATATTATAAAAGACTGAAACTGATTAACAAATTTAGAAAAAGACAAAATATAGGGCACTGTCAGTGCTGGCAGGCAGTGTGTCCCCTGATGAAATGTTGAATCTTATAAAAAATTTTCGTTCTCTGCTAGAATAGTATTTCTGATTTTATACATATATATTTCATATAAATATTTATAGGCTTTTATATAATATTTCATGAATTCAATAGGAAAAAAAAACGTCTATCAGCGAATGTTATTTGCATTTACATCATTGTATTTTATTGAATGATATTTAATATAATTGTTCACCTTATAACAAGGATTTGTCACTTCTGCTCTGTTTGAAGAATGTTTTTTGATTTCATTACTTGTCATAATTAAAAGCTTAAAAAATTATAAATATTTTAAATTTTTATTAAGTTATTTTTACTTGCAACTGGAAAGGCATTGTTTACCAACAAATAACCAGCTCAGCTTAATAAAGTTACAGTTATGTAAGTGGCACCTGAAATTGGTGTCTTCAATATTAAAGCAATGTAAGCTAAAAGCTAAAAAAAATATTAAACAGCGATTTGAAAATGTTCCTCGATTCAATTCTTGTTTGTTTTGCTTTCACTACTTCATGGGTTTTCTATAGTAATCATAACGCACATAATTTGTGTGCAAGTGTAACAATAAATATATAACTATCGTTATTCAAAGATTTTAAATGTACTGTTAACCTCTACTGAATAAATATTACAACTTAAAATATGCCTCCTAAGCGAAATATTTCATTTACCAAACCTCCTGAACCAGCTTTTATCAAGAGAATGAAAGATTCAATTGGTTATCAAGAACCTCCCACTATTGAAACAAAAGTAAGTTTTATGATCAAAGTTCTGTTTGTGTCTAATTCCTTCACAAAGGCATCAAAAGGTTTTTAACTTGCAAAATGTAAAAGAAAAAAATGTGTGGTTTTTTATTTATTTCTCGGCTGCGTAGTGAACTGATAGCAAAGACACGGGTCCCAATAGAACACTGAAGTTAAGCATCACTGGGTGTGGGTGGTTGACCACTTTAATCAGCCTGCGTAGGAACCAAGGGTGTGCGGTATCGGTCCTCGTCAATCTGTTCTACCGTGAAATGCTGGCAGGTTGTGGGGCTACCAAAGCAAGGGAGCCATTCCCTCTGCAGAGGATCCAAATAGCGATGGCATGTCATTGGATCATCCTCAGGGATGTTACCCAGACCATCACCAATATCCCATTGTGTAGCTCTAGTGTGACGTAAATAAAGAACCTACCTCCCTTTATTTCTCACCAGCCACAGCCCGAAACTCGCCATAACTTGACGATTATGTTGTTGCAGACGCCGATTTGAAAATCTTTCTTCAAAATGTTAAATTAAATACTTTTGTATTTTTTGTGTAGATTTATGTATTTTTATCAGTGCCACAATAGTCGCCAAGTAGTGGTTACAACGGTGCAGTGGTATGCAAGACGGGATGTTTCCATATTGCGATCTGTTATGCCAACTACAATCTCCATGACTCAAAAGTGATTTTAAACAGAAATTTTTTTAAAAAACATGCCACAGTGATGGTAACGAGTAATACCCAATGAGTTGGTCACTTGTTTTTTGTTTATAATTATTTATAAATTCAAAAAGCTTACATTAGTGATATTTTGCATTACCAAGTTCAGGTACAGGAAGTTTGTTAAACTTTATGGGTGCATAATTTTTTTCTTCTCAATTTTGAGAAAATTATTTTGAGTGATAACTTCTTTTGTATTTATTTTTAGCATAAAAATTGAATTTAAATTATTTTTATCCACTATAAGCAAAAATAATTTCAACATATATCTATAAAATTTTTATTTTTTTAATTAATTTTATTCTAGCAATTAAAAACAACAGTACTTCAAATGTTATTTTATTTAATTTACAATTGTTTAATTCAAAAATTCTTATTTTTTACAGATATGGGGAAAAAAAATGGTTGTTCCATAATGTTAATACTACACTAAACAAACAAAGAAGCCACTGAAAATTTGTTTCCTACTGGTTTTAACTTGTGCTCAGTTTATAAATTCCCACAGGTTTGCATTAGCATGGGCTTGTGATAGTCCAAACTTTAGAAAATTCTGTGCCTCTCAGCCCTGCACTGTCCAACAAGTTTTAGCTTACTTGTAAGAAAGTAGCTCAGCAAATAGTTTTGAATAATTTGTACCAGATCTATTAATTAATTTATTTTTTTTCCCTAGACAGTAGTAAAAAGTGGTTGTAATCATAAAAACTAGATAAGTGAAATAATATGTAAAAAAAAAATTATGCAATACCCATCTATTGCTGGATTAAATATATTAATCTAAATAAATAAGTTTAGTGTCATCTATGTTAATTAAATTCAAAACATTATAGGTGAATATTAAATAATGTATGATAGCTTAAAAAATTTGATTTGATAAACATTTTTTCAAAATTCTTGTTGGATTCCCAGACTCTGTTACAATATTTTTGTATCATGCTTAATAATGATACAATAATAATTAACTCTTTCATTAGTGCTATACTTCGTTGCAAGTTTAGAAAAGACTATTGCGGTATAGAATGTAAGCAATCATCAACTGCATATAGTTCCATTTTATTTTGCTATCAAATTAAAGAAATATGCTTTCAAAACAATATAAAAGCATTTAAAAGTTATACAGGTTAGGTAGAAATTTAATTCGTGCTTCCTTTTACAATATATATCATTGAATTGTTAAAAAATTATTATAGTTTTGTTGCCTTATTGAAATCCTTGACTTAACGACATATTTTGATAAATAAGGAGAATATTTGTTCTTGACTACTATTTGCAAGAACATTGGATTTGATTGGACTACTAAACTGGCGCATCTGATGTTGCTATGCCTTTAACAAATCAAATGCGAGATAAAGAATTTTTACTTTTGTTTTGCTGTAGAAGAAAATCGTCAATATTTTTTTTATTTTATATATTTGTTACGATTTTTAGATAATTTTATTAATTCTTATTGTTTGTTAATTGATTACCGCTGTTAAAATAAGTTATTTGTTATTAATAAGAAGGCTGTGCAACCTCGTTTAGCGGTATTGATGTATGCTCATGTTCGTGCTGGGCGCTTGGCATCCATTTAGTGTGCACTTTGACAGAAACAGTCTCTCGCCATAGGGATGTTTTTTTTCTCAACTTGCAACAGAGAATAGAACAAATTATCTCCTTTTCGGCTTGTGATTCAAGGACACTGAATATTCATAAAAAAAGTAAAGAAACTGGTGGTGTGCACTTTTTTTTTCTCTTTATACAGCTACTCCAAAATGTAGTTTAAATTATTATCAAAAGTGACAACAGTAAATATTTTTAATTTTTGGTGAACTTTAAATTATCAGTTTTTTTTTCTGGCTTTTGTTTTATAAACTATCCACTCATCCCACTTTGAAATATACTAAATTATAATACTTAGTATATTGGTCAAAAAGATAAATTCAAGAGATTGATGAAATAGAACAGAGCAGGAGTTTATCTTCAATTTTTCTTGGGAAATGCAGACATTTTCTAATAAGTTTTTTTTGGTCAGTGAACTTCTATTTATGTTTTCAATTTATTTATGCCATTTTCTTCTGAACTCCTTATTTTCATACATATGTAATGTTGAAAAAATAAATAAAAAGTATATTATAATCATTAAATGCAAATTTCGTTGATGGTGTGTAATTTTTTACTCAAAATAAAAATTTAAAAGACTGATAATTAAATTGCAGCTTAATTAGTTGCTTTAACATTTTTTTAAAAAAATTAATGCACTTTGTTGATAGCTTTTAGCTTAAAGGATATCTGAAGACTTTGTATTACTGCTTGTTCATAACAGCATGAATACCACTAATTATCAATTTTTGTCAAGTATACACTTTATTTTTTTACAAAAATTGGCACAAACTATCCTTTTTTGATCTTAAAAAGTTTTCGGATTTTTATTTGCATATATTTTTTATTTTATTTCAGAAACAAAAATTGGCTCATGAGGATGATGATATTGAGTTAGAAGATGACAAACCTGTTGTGGTAGTTCTTAATTCTGAAAACATTACTAAAGATGAATTGGAAGCATTTACTGAAAATAGTAAGTTATAGTAATATTTTTTTGTTAGAACTGTCTATTCTGTTTTCTCTACATACATAGTTTGACGTATTCAAAATATTCTTATTTGACTTTGAATTTATTTATAAGACCATTATTTTTATTCAGAAAATATATATTTATGAACCTACATTGCATGTAAATCGTTAGATATCTTTATAGTGTCAGACGCTCTTAATTTTTGCTATATCTTTGAATTTTCATTTGTCTTAATTGAATAATTTCATTTATTCACAATGGGAATCAATATATTTTTCATTTATAATGAACCAAGTAATATTTATTAATTATTAAGAAATATATTTTACAAGATTTATTTAAATTATTCTTAATTAATTTAATTTTAAAAAAAAGAATCCACTCTCCTAGAAAAGCTTATCCTGATAAAGCTTGGTATTTTGTTTGAAAGAAGCCTATTTTATCTAGGACACTGCAAAAAACAGGAGAAACTGGACAAAATGGAAGAAACTAAAAAAGACCAACACTATTATTTAGCAACAATTGTTATAAGAATAACTAAAATTTGAGCAAATCAAATTTAATATAGTATAAAAAAACAAAGTTTTTTGTAAGTACTTTTTTCAAAGTATTTAGATTTGGTTTAAGTTTTTGTACTTATTAGCATTTGATTATGAAATTGCTATTTGTAATTATGAATTCGATATGTGATTGGTAGTTGGTGTATTTATTTAATATGTAACTTGTTTATTGAGAGGGATTTGATTATGATATTTTAACAGTTCTTTATATAATTAAAAATTTTACTCTTTTTTTTTTCAAAGTAAAATATGAAAGAACTGCAATTTTTTTTTTTCAGTTCAATTTTTCTTTTTAATTGTTACTTTTATTTAAACTAAATTATGTGCTGTGATGGCCTGATTGCTAAGATGTTGAGCTAAGTTTGTGAAAATAGAAGTTTGATTCCAGTTGTCTGTGACTGGTGCACTTTAATCTGTTGGGGTTACAAAGTTGTCTAAGTTCCCATAACAAATCAATACCTCTGGGGGTACTGAATTGGAGGTTGATCGTTCTCTGGTTCAGGTAAAAATTACAAGGTTTGTCTTCTGGATTGAATTGAAATTACAAGGCTTTGGAGTTGAACATTAGTAGTCGTAAACCCAAAAATTAGGTCGGCTGTTAATTGATGGTTATAAAATAAAATGTGGATAGCATTTAAAAAGTCTTTTAAATGGTCAAGTATAAGGTTTTATAAAAAAAATAATAGTGGTTAATCTTTTTTTTTTATATATTATCCTGAAAACAGATACATTTAGATATTTGTACAAAATGTTACATTGCTCTTAATGTTACAAATTATTTTTTCCTGTAGGTAAAAACGAAAAAGTGGTATTTTCTAAACCAGCGAAGAAAAATTTGGAAGAAAAAAGCTCCTTAAACTGTTCTTCTAAAAAACAGTTACTACAAAAAAAAGTTGATGCATTAAAAGATTCCAAAAAAGCTGTTAAAAATTCAAGCCTTTTGTCATTTGATGAGGATGAAGACTATTAATTTACTCAAAATAATTTTTTTTATATCATTCATGTGTTTGTACATTTTCATTTCATAAAATATTTAAGTGGACATTAAACTCATAAGTACTGTATCAAAGTAATTATTTTATTCATGTTGTAGCACTGTATCAAATTACATAACAAGGATGTGAAACATCTATTGGGAGTACAAATAAGTTATCCCCTTTTCTATCAAAAATTAGCAGTTTATTGTGCAGAAACGGTACATTATCTTTTATTCAAAGTATTCTCCATTACAAGTCACTACTTTTCCCCATCTTTCACTCTTTATCTTTTGAGGATATCCACAAATCGACCCATTCTTTGGTTTCTTCAAATGATGTGAATTTCTGCTCAGAAAGACCTTGTGCCATTAATCGGAATAAGTGATAATTTGAAGGGGCAAGGGTCTGGCCAATACGGCAGGTGGGGTAGGAGTGTTGAGTGTTTTCAAATAGGTTTTGATCAGCTTTGCAACATGTGGACGAGCATTCTCGTGCAGGAAAATAATTTTGTCATGTCTGGAGTAGTACTGGGCACATTTTTCTTTGAGTGCTTGGCTCAATCTCAGAAATTGTGTTCGGTAGAGAGCTCCAGAAATGGTTTTATTTCGTTTAAGCAACTCATAAAAGACTACGCCAATTTGATCCNAGGATATCCACGAATCGACCCATTCTTTGGTTTCTTCAAATGATGTGAATTTCTGCTCAGAAAGACCTTGTGCCATTAATCGGAATAAGTGATAATTTGAAGGGGCAAGGGTCTGGCCAATACGGCAGGTGGGGTAGGAGTGTTGAGTGTTTTCAAATAGGTTTTGACCAGCTCTGCAACATGTGGACGAGCATTATCATGCATCTGGAGTTGTACTGGGCACATTTTTCTTTGAGTGCTTGGCTCAATCTCATAAATTGTGTTTGGTAGAGAGCTCCAGTAATGGTTTTGTTTGGTTTAAGCAACTCATAATAGACGCCGTCAATCTGATCCCACCAAATACGCAGCACCAGTTTTTTTCATGAATATTTGGCTTGGGTGTCGATGTTGTAGTATGGTCATGTGCTTCCCATGATCTACTCTTTGGATTATCGTAGTGAATCTATTTTTCGTCACCAGTGACTATAGGATGCAGAAAACCCTTTTCCTTATGCCTGGCAAGCAGCATTTCACTCATGCAAAATTGACGTTTAATGTCTCTTGCCTTCAGGTCTTATAGAACCCAACTTCTTTGTTTTTGGATCATTCCCAACGATTTTTTTAAACGGTGTGAAATTACTTGCTCTTGCTGAGCAACTTGTAATGTAAGAGCAAGTTCTTTTTGCATTTGGGGCGAATCTTCTTAAACTCACCGTTTTTAAACTTCTGAAACCACTTACGACAACTTCTCTCACTAAAAGCAGCCTCAACATATACTTCTCAAGCAATCTATGCACCTTAGCAGCAGATTTGTCAAATTAAAGAAGTAAATCGAAAGTCCCGGCAAATCAGGCTTATTGGGCAAAAAAAAACTTGACATTTTTACTCGAAAACAATTACAGAATGCTAATACAGAAGCACTAACACTTTAAGATTATGTTGTTACATGATGAACAAACTTACAATAAGATATTTAACACCAGTCAATTTCCACATAACCTTCTGGTAGTGCCATCTTGTGACCAACGGTGGAAACTTATTTGTACACCCAATATATAGATTCTTTAATCTGAGTGGCCAACATATAAGGAGCGACCTTTATTGACCAAAACGTTATCCTTTTGGAAACACTTCAGTTGTATAAGTAGCTTTTCCTTCCTCATTAGGTAGTATTATATACTTAAAAAACTTTAATAGAATCTTGATTATGTGAGCTGAAAACTTTTGTTAACAAAGGCCGATTCTAAAATGTTATTTATTTTTGTAAGTAACAAACATTAATTTAGTTAGAAGTTATTTGCTTGGTTTTGGGGAAAAAATCTAGATGTTGTAACTTTCATTCTTTGTTGCTGGTACATTGTAGTCAGGGGTCAAAGAATCCTGAAAATGTTCATAACCAACAAATATTTTTGTTAGCCGGAAGATAAATTAGCACCTCCCCCTTTTTCTAGTATTTTTTCCTGCCAACTTAGAAATCTTGTTGAATACATTCATGCATAAAAATCAAATACTTACATTTGGAATGTTTATTACAAATGAATGAAATATATGTTTTTATAATTAAATATGTATATTTTCTGAGAATTTGCAATTAATCACTTATTTGCAGTTAATCAAGTCTATTATTGAGATTTTTTAACACAAATTTATAAATTAGAATGAAACGTCCCCAAAACTTAAAAATTTGCAGAAAGCACGAACCTTGCTCACATTTTATGTAATTGCTATGAATGTGTGTACATATGTTTCTTATTATTTTAATTAAATAAAATTTAATTAAATGTCTTTTTTCTTGACAAATATGCCCAAAAATTCAAACCAACTTTACCTCCTGGGGTTAACAGCTTAAATTCTCGGTCCATCATTACTACCACAGCTGAGATGCTCATAAGGGGTAACTAGATTGTGGGAAGTAGCATGCCTTGGTGATAATTATTTATTTCCTAACTTAACAACCATGGGAATATTGTTTCAACCATTAAGTATCTATTTTTTGTACATTTTAAGAAATGATATAAAGAAAAAAATTAAGTAAAAATTAATTATAAAAAATTAAAGTTAAAATTTATTCTAATGTATAAAGTAAAAATTAAATAAGATTAAAAACAGATTGTTTTTTAAAAAAACTATAGTTTTTGTATTTTTATTTATTTTTGCAAAGATATTTCTTGTAAGCAAAATTATCCCTTTTTTAAAAAAAAATATTACTAAGAAAAGTGTTTTTTTTTCTTTTTTAATTTCAAATAGTCATATAAAGTAATAAAAATAAATGCTGCATTTGAAATGCTTCAAAAGAAAAGTTTAAATTTGTTAGCAGTAAAATGGTGATATAAAGATTAATATGACATGATTAAATAATAAAATAAGATTAGAAACAAATTGCTTGTCATTAAAAAAAAAATACTTTCCAGAGGCAAAACTTTTCAATTTCTTTTTTTGCTTTCTTTCCATATTTTGAATATTATTGGGAAAGGCATTCATGTTCATCTGCCTTTTTTGAAGAAAAAAAATGTACATATAAAACTATCATGAAAAGCAATAAAATAAATGTTATATTTAAAATGCTTCCCAAAAAAAGTTTTAGTTTAGAGTCGGTTTAAATTTCTGATTCAATGTCCTGCAAAAATATAATCTGAATAAAATAGTAATATTTCCCTGGATATTTCAATGCAGTAGTGCTTTATAATTAGTATTTTACCCCTTAGACTTCTGACAATCAAAATAAATTTTAAATTTAGCGATTTTAACTACACAATAATAAGCAAAGAATGTTTATTTACATGTTCATAAATATGAGATAACATTTTAAATGAGATAATATCTTTTCTCAATGTAAATACTTCATTATAGAAAGCTAGCAACATATACATATTGATTTTTGTTAACCATTTATAAGTACAGTATAGCATTGTAGTTATGACACATAAATTATAATGAAGAATTTAATAGTTGACAGTTAGTCATCTCATTATTTACATGCTTTTTCATATACATATGGTATCTTATTTGGTTACAAAATAATAAATAGAACAATGTGATTCATAAAAAATATAAGTAACAAAAATAAGTGATTAATCGCCAAGTGTGTGGCCTCGGCCCCAATTATAACCCCCAGCTCTAGGGGGTTGTCTGGTAGCAGGTGGTACTCCTCTTCCCGATCTTACATTAGAAGGAAAATAATTATACCTGTAAAGAATTTAAGGTAATATGTATAATTTTCAATAAGATAGATCAATGAATTAATTTATCTTTAAATTCAAATCTTCTTAATGTAAAGGGCTCTACCATTTTTTGTATTTACTGTAATTTATAGATTAAAGTAGATTACAGCAGCAAATATTTTAGGTTTTTTATACTTAGGTTCTCACTTTGTTGGTTTTGTTTTCAAACTATCTTAATATTTTTAAATTTTAAAAAAGTAGTCCCTTCAATTTAGCAGAATTGAGTATATAAATTTGCAATAAAAAAATTAATTTTCTTATTTTGTATGCATAATAGATACATACGTCTGATTGCATACAAACACAAAATTCACTTTCAAGACAAATTAAAGCACTTAAATAGTTTAGGATCCAATTAATTTGAGTGACTAAAAAACTAACTTAAAATAAAGGAATTGTTAAATTAATTAGGTAGTAATTAAGTTTACAGAGAACAAACAATTCCTTTATATCATAATTCTGAGTAACTGGTTTCTCAAGGATTGGATGAGGTTGCAGAAAAAATCTTTGAAAATATATTTTGACTGAAAAGCTTATTGAGTAATAATGGCAAAACATGAACATTAATAAGGTAGATCTAGCGTTACTGACACTTTTATGTTGGATAGTATTTGCCAAAAAAGGAGCGATTTGCATTTAAAGATATTAAAGCAAATTTGAATTTATTAAAAAAATGTAAGGACTTCTTATCAAAGGTGCAAACATTCCAAACTAGCAATTGGTAATCATAAATACAATACAGGGTTTCCACTTAATTTCAGAAAGAAAAATTCCCCAACTTTTCCAGGTAAATTTCAATGGAAATCCATACCATATTTTATCTATATCATGCAATTTCATCAAAAAAAAATTTATTTTTAAAATCAAATATTAGATTTTGTGAGAATACAACATAAATTAAGAATAAAAACATGGGAAAGCAATTTTATAAAATAATTACAGTAGATGTTAGAACTTTTTAACTCTAATCTTAATAACTGATTACAGTTACCGACAATTCTAAGACTTGTAATTTTCCAGGTATGACACAGGAATTTTTGTAAAAAATTGCATATTTCCCTGACTATTCCCCTGATTGGTTAAAATAAAATTCCCTGATCCCAGGTTTTAACTGACCAGTGGGAGTCCTGCAATAACACAGAAATAAAGTTGGTATTCACAAAATTCAAATTCTAAAGTTTATGTATTACTTAATTTAATATAGGTACAGTACAGAACCTTCTATCTGGTATAAAAAAAAGAGGAAAATTTTGTGCAGTTGCCTGCCAAAATGAACTAGAACAATATACGCAAAATGAGGAAATTCCAGTTATCCTTGAAGTTTAGTAGGGGGAAAAGAGGATTTCTTCTATCCACCCATCATGTGTTTTTTTTTTATCCCCCAAAAGAAATTTTAATAGAGTAATCCCCACTTAATTGCATATAGGATAATCAAATAACCTGCTTACATGAATAAAATTTAATAGAACCAAATCATTTTATATGAAACTTATGCTAAATTTCCTAATTTAAAGGGTTATTTGTTTTTTCCAGTCTGTAGAGGCAAGCTGATTTCAAGGGGTGAATGCATTACATGTGCTTATCAGTAAACAGAATGTGGAGGGGCAATAAAAATAAGGGAAGTGGAAATAAATTTTTTTAATTGGAATACAAAAATGGCTAAAATAAGATTTCTATTTCTCATTTAGTAATTAAGTAGAAATATAGTTAGGAGTACAGTACAAAACTTTTTATGCAGTTCCCAAAAAAAGTGAGTAAAACTTTGTTCCCTTTTCCCGCCATTTTGAACTAGAACAACCAAGTAATCTTTGAAACTGGGTAGATTGAAAAGTGGTAGGAATTGTTTTCTTCCTGTTCAATCAAATGTAATAGAGCGGCAGACTTAGATAAAATGAAGTGACCCCCTCCAAAAAAAATAAACAGTTTCTGCCAGAATAACCCCTTAATAGTGACATATATTTCAGAAAAATGGAAATTTTCTTTGACTGTTTAATTCTGTTCTTTATATTATTATAAGAGTTAGGAATTTATTTCTATTAATTATTGCTTTTTATTAAAAAAATAAAATTTTAAATGCAATAACTACTGAATTTATAAATTTTACATACACATGAAAAAGTAATGGATTACATATACATCTTATTCAATTAGAGCAAATTAACCAAAATTTTGAAGCTACATATAATATAACTAGTATAATGTAATATGAAAATTCAACAATATGATTTTCAATACATAAATTTTACAAATCTTTTACAGTATGGTATATCCCAAAATCCCCACCCACATTTCACTCCCAAATAATAAGTGATAAACTAGGACCACTAATGCCATCTATTAGAAAAATAGTGAATTAAGTATCCTAAAGTCGAAACAAACTCAGCTCGGGCTTCACAAAATAGAAATGTTAATTTTTTTTCCTGGCATTACAAATACTGCTCACAGTAGTTGCCAGAACAGAATTCGGGAGACACAGGGGTAGAATTTATTGCGGGGTAGAAATTTGATTGCTTTTATTTTGTTTTATCCATGTATTTTTTTTTTTTTTTTTTTTCAAAAATTAAAGCAGCATCTTGTAAGCGAAATCAGATGAAGGATTGAAACTTTATAATTCATTATAAAAATGATACAATTAAATTGAATACTTGAAATTAATGTTCTTGTTTTTTATTAAATTAGAATTAGCCTTGATTTATTTTTTATCATCCAGAATTTGAACCACTAAAAATTTTAGCTCACAGCATTTCAGATTTGAATTAATTTCATTTTGCTTTTCAATTAGGAGAGAAGATTAAGTTTCAGAATAGCTTGTTGGATGAGATTTCATTGCCTTTTTTTCTTGCTTTAATCAAATCGTTTTTGCTTAGAGAATTATTTTAGGAGAGTAAAAAAAACATCATAAATCTTTATAGTTAATTGAAAAAAACTTATTTTAACAGAGTATTGTGGAAATTCTCCACAAAAAAAAAAACAACTTTTATTACTCAACCATAATCTTGACTATGAAATCATAATAATCACATATAAATCGTAACATTTGGCACCTCTGTTTTATAAAAAATACACAAAACAGAAATTCTAAGCATCTTACTAAGTATCAGGTAAGAAAATATGACCAACTATCTGAACTATTGACGAATTTAAATTTCAGAAATTCTAAATTCATAATTGATGTTAAATAAAATTAATAATCAAAAACAATTATCATTTAGGATTAGATATTTTAGTAACTTACAGAAATTGTGGAGTTTCAAGAATGCTGCGGCCACCGTTTGACTGAGGATACGTATATTTCAAGAAATAGTACAAGTGCCCAACCAAAATGCCAAGTAATTCTTCAAACCCTCTGAAAGAATATTAAAATGTTAATAACTTAAAGTAAAAGCATAATAAATAACTATGCAATATTGTATATTATATAAAACAAAGATGCACAGTAAAATTTTATTTGCAATAATTGATTTGACAAAAAAAATTTTTTTGTTGCATATTTTTAGAATTGGTTGATTCTGTTCGTAGATGTAAATAATGATATTGCAAATAATTTTAAAAATATTTTTAGAATTCAGTAAATAATTCTAAAAATATGCAAATTCTTCTTGTTGCATAGCTTTAGGATTGGTAGATTCCGTCCGTAGATGTTATTTAATTTTTACTAAAATTTGTATGCATTGTTTTGTTAGCATTTCTAACAAAAATAATAAAGAAAGATAACATTTAAGAATTGTTTAACAAACAATTATCATTAATTATCACAATAATCATTATTAAAAATTGTTAACAACAATTATTATTAAATCTTGATTTAAAATTAACACAAATTGTATAATTTGTTGATGATAAAATTATTAGCTATACTACTTATCAATATTTTATTTTTAAACCCTTGTATTTCGAACCCAAGACAAGAGAACTCCTGGTTCAAACATTTTGACAAACTAGTCTTTGTGGAAGATTTTTGATAGAATTAACCTGCATTAGCATTATATGAAAAGGAAAATTTCCTACAATTAGCCTGACCGCTGAAGGATTCTAATCCAGATGAAGACATGTTACATCAGAATGTGATTAGTGCGAGACCGGAGCAGAAATCGTATCAGCCAGTCATAGGTTTGAGTCTAAGCCTAAACATTGATAGAGGCTGTAAGAGTCTTGATATCTCAGGGGATAGAGCGCTCGCCTTCCAATGAGGTGAACCGGGTTCGAATCCCAGTGATGGCTGGTTGATACGAATTTCGCATCCGGCTGGCACCAACCACAGTGCTGTTGTGAAATATCCTCACTGATGGACGGATCATGGGTTAGATTACTACAGTTATAATATATAAAATAAAATATAGAGGCTGTAAAAATGCAAATAAATTTACTAACATAAAATAAAGAGAAATAAATATAACTTAACAAAAAATAACAGAGACATTTTTATAAAAGTACAGATAAGCTTTCAGTCATACATACCCTCCTTGTAAAATGAAGTTAAAACCAAATAACACCCAAGGTAGATACATAGCCTTAAAATAAAAATATTTATTAATGAAACTAAAAAAATTTATCATTTTTTAATCAAAAATAAAACAACTAATAACTCATTATGATTCTTAAAATACAAAACGAAATCAAAACTTTTTTTCAAACTAATATTACAAACTTTTTTATCTAACTTAAAACTCATATATTAATTTTTATAGATGGTGATCACACGAAAAGTTCACATTTAACTTCTTATCTTTTGAATATCTGCAACTAAAAGTTAAAAATTACACTGCTTTAAACATCAGAAGAAGTGAGTTACACAATTTTCTCATTAATTTAACATAAATAAACACTTTGAGAACATTTATTAATGCTAAGAAAAGAATGCTTAAAATACACATTTGAATACTGTGGTGTGAAAAAGAGTACAGTACGTAAAAAAAAAAGGAACACCTTGAAAAAATACTTTGATCAAATGATCGGAATATCACATACTAAGTTTCAATCTTAATGGTTAACCATTAAGATTGAGCCTAAGTATGTGATATTTCAATCATTAAAGTCATTCAGGATGTTTATCCCTTTTTTCTGGGCAATGCACTTTTCTAAAATTTTGTCTAATTAAAAAATAAGTTACCTTGTGATAACAAGTTTTTCTTTCCTTTTGACTCGTCACAATGTAAGAAATAACTAACAAAAAAATTTATGTTTGAAGCGTTTATTCCCATTAAATAGTATAACTTTATAGTTCTCTTTTAACTCTCATCTCATATCATTTTCGACACATAAATGTCATATCATTTTCGACAGATTACAATTTTTCACCAGGCTGCACCAAAAGTGGTCCCACCTTGTAATGCCTAACCACTTTTCTATACCAGACACTATTTTTATAACTATAGCTGCTGCCCATCAGCAGTTAGCAGGATGGATGCAGACTTCAGTGGGAACCATATATAATACATGATTTTTACATGAACATGATGAACAGAAGTTGTGTAGCGCAAAAAGAAAAAATTTTTACATGATGAATAGAAATTGAGAAATATAATAAAAAGTGTAGGTAATAGAAAATAAAAGCATCGTTTTTAATCTTTGTTATACAATGCCACAAATCTTAGTTTCCTATATTACCGTACTTATGAAAAAAAGCTGATAAAAAACAAATGATTTTTAGAATGTAGGCATTTAGCAAAATAAATATAAAAGAAAATGAGAGTATAATAATGATCATAAAAATGAGACCATCCATGAGAAACATTAACAAAAATAAATGAAAGATTGAACCGAGATATAAAATATAAAACTGAAAATGCAAAAAATTGAAAAAGTAAAAGAAAAATTAGTTCTTAATTCTTAAAACAAAACTTTAAAGCCTAAAATCTCACCTTTCTCTATTATCGCATTTTTTTAAAAAAAAGTGACAGTAAAAAGAAAAATATCAATCATAAAAAATACAGTGCCATTATAAAATCGCTGACAAAAAAAATTTAAAAAAGCAACAGAAAAAACTTGTTTACCTTTAAAAAATTATTTAAAACTGAATCACCTCTTCACATGTTATTCTTTCAAGAAAAAATTACTTAAAAAGTATTAGAAATGCTATGACACACAATAAAATCACAAACAAAATCAAATGTTAATAAAATAAAAAAAAAGGAAACAAAAGAAATGTTCTTAGTTCTTAAAACAAAATGTTAAAGTTGAAAATCTTTTTATCTTTCATATGACTGTATTTTTAGGAAAAAGCCAAGAGACAAGAAAAAAAAGTCTTATCAGAAATCCTCTTAAAAAAAGTGGAACCATAATAAAAACAAATCTATGAACAAGTCTATGAAAAAACATGAGAGAAGTAGAGCAAAAAAAAAGAGAACTGTTCTTCAATTGAACTTAAATGCTGAAAATGTGTCCATAATTCAGGAAAAAGTGACAGAGATCAGAATCACTCTTAAAAAAATGCAGTGATTAAATCAAAGCGCTGATGATAAAAAAATACTTCATTTTTTTTAAGGGTAAATTGAAATTGCAAAGTGGAAGAAATGCAAAAATAGAAAAATCCCTTTTTTTTTAATAACAATTTTGGACCCTCTCATTTTTTATTGCTCTGTAATTTAAAAAATAACTTACTGAAAGTATTGAATATTAGTGACTTTTCATAATTCAATCTAATTTATGTGCCTATTTAATCAATCATGTGTTAGCCTTATAGGATCGTATATATAAAACCTTATACCCAAAATGACCCCTAAGATATCATGGTAAGTACCCCATAAACCCAGGTAGATTTGGGTATAAGATGTCCCAGTTCCTTTACTTTTAAAAAAAAAATCGACTGTAATTCATTTTAAATAAATCATGATTATATTTTAAGATTTTGGATGCCTAACTGATCTACATACAAACAATCAAAAAAGGGCCATACTTTTTAGTGTTAATCCCAATAAACTTAATATTCATCATTCTTATTAATAAACAAGATATAAGTGTTTGTAAGATAATAATTCAAAGAAATTTTTAATAAGCACAAATCAAATCACCTTAATTACCAATTCTAATAATTTTTATTTTTCTTTCACTTTGTTCTAGACAATAATATTATCTCTGTCTCATTTTCTTCCATTTATGAAAGAGGTCAGGAAAATTTCACATTCTCTTGAAATTGAAACTTATCCCAGATGTATATTAGAACTTATAAAAATTGCTTTAACAATAAGGCTCTTCTCATATTTAGTGCCTGCTTATATTTGAATTGCATTCCGAAAAGGTTGGGGAGGGGGCATTTATCAGCAATCGATTGGTATTTTACTGTAGGTTCTTTTATATTCCAATCGATCTTTTGTAAAAATAATAATAATGTATTCTTAAAGACATTTTTCTTATAAACTTTTTAAACATTCACATTATTTAAGTAGTTCATAGATCTATAATATATTTCCTATAATTAACTTAAGTACACATTCATGATTAAATATAATCATTCTGCAGGAACAAAAACATACAAAATATTTGTATATTATTAAAAAAAAAGTTAATTACCAACCATACCTTATAATACTATATTACGTATAAATAAATCTAACTCTATCCTTTTTCTAATTTCAGTAGAATTTCTACATAAGATTCTAAGATATGATACAGAGCTCTAAAATATTGACAAAGAATCAGAGATACAATATAATTTTGTAAAAGAATGGAAGAAATATAAGAGACAACTCACTTTAAATCTTGTACCAAACCAAAAACTAACGATAGTATCTTTGTTTACTTGACACCAAAGGTACAGCATGCTCAGAATCATGGGCTCCATCAAAAGCTAATAAACAAAATTCACACATTTAGTTAAAACAGTTTAGAAGCAATTATGTTACTTTTTATTATAATTATGAACAAAACTTCATAAACTGAGTGCACATTTTGAAAACACTGCCAAAACCAGGAGAAATATCTTACAGAAATTTAAAAAATAATATTGTTACAAAATAATATACTTCTTCTTAGGTTAATTACAAGAAGTACTAATGACTCAAAATATATTAATATTCATTGCAGAAATTAAAATAATTTATGAGATTTTAATTAATGTTTAATAAAGGTAATGAAATTTAACCAGTGACACAAACCACTTAAAAAACACTTTGGTATTTTTGTGATGTCCTCAGATATTTTCTCTACCTTTAAATTTATTATTAGTTTTACTTATATTTTAATTACGTTGCATTTCTAATAAAAATTTTATGGTTTATTCATACTAGTTTCTTTATGCAAGATAAAAACCAATTTTATTTGGATATCATTTGGAAATCTGTACAAATCTTTCCTGACAATTCTGGAGGTAATCAAACAAAATCCTATTCTTGTTTTAGATTTTTTTTTCAAGCATTAACTATATAAACGTATGACGATGTCCTTACCATTATCAGTTCTAATTTCAATAACACTTAATTTATATAATTAAATGAAGTTCATTTTTATAATTCTTTATCTTTATATTTCTTTATTGCATTTGTAGATAATTTAATTATTACAAAATAATTTGGAACAATAAAGCTTTAATATCATGTAAAACAGTAATGACACAACTACAAATATGTGCAAGATTGTATGACTTAGTTTAGTTATTAAGTTATTAGAGGTTGATCACCTTTTCAGTGTTATGTTATACAACATAGTCATATTGTCTTTTTAATATGTGTCAAATAAGAATACTTACCATAACATTAAGTGCTAAACCAGCACACTAAATATACATTAAGGAATATCACACTTCAGAAATGTTACACAACTAAAAGAAAGAGTTTTACTCAGGATACAAAGTAATAAGTATGCACAGACACCTGATTATTTGAAAGGGTTGAGATTACCAATTGATATAATTTTAACAAAGTCATTTTATGAACAGAGAATATCAATTTTTTGGTCAAAAATGACTAAGAAATTTTCAATTTTAGTAAAGCTAAAAAGAATCTTATCTAAAAGGAAGCTATAGAAAAGTACTCACAAAACCAATGTCATGTCATAAACTCAGAGGCATTTATTACAAAATTGTCTAATATGATTGACAACTTGGCCAATGTCAACTTGAAAGCCAAAATGACATTAGTTTGAGATAAAGACAAATTTAGCTGTTGGAATATATTCTTTTTGGATAATCTTAGGTGGTAGGATTGCTAAGCGTACAGAATAATTTTGAATCCTCAACAATAAGAACTTAATAGTACAGTTAAAATAATTGTAGTATAAATTAATGCTACAAAGTTTTTTCGTTTTAATAAAGCCAGATGGTTCTCTATTCTGTAGAATAACCTGGGCTTCATAACAAACAAATAACTTAAATCTTTTAAAAGTTATTAAACTTTTTTAAAAATAGCCAATTTGACGACATTTTTCCAACTCGATAAAAATTATCAAAATCACTGCGTTATTCTCAGTTTTTGCAAATTTTTATGAGTTTATGATAATGCAGTATTGCAGTAAGTTTTTAAATACTAAAAATTAGGCCATAAACGCTTTTCATTTTCACAAAACTGGGGCTTTTCCTAATATTGACGTTCTGTGCCATTTTCAAAATGAGCATAGATAACACTGACTTTAGATAGGCTAAATTTGACCTAACAGTCTCGAGTAACTGTTGCTAACTCACAGCAGTTAAGAAAATAGCATATTATTCACAAAAAAGCATCATTTAATGTGACGATAAGGTCTTTGAAAAACAGCCTTGATAGCATTATCTGTTAAACTTGATTTGTGTTAAATTTTTTTATATTAAAACTGCTAATTTATATGAAGATATAGAAGAAACAGTTTATAAGAAAACTCCACCAGATTATGAAGAAGAATGAGGAAAGAACAAAGTTTATAAATTAAATTGTATCAGATGTGGTCCCTAACCAGGGATACCCTAATCTGGAAGAAATTAGCATAAATTAAAAAAAGAACTGTATAAGATTAGCCTCAATCAATTTTTTAGCTATTTGTATTTACACAGATGACTTTAAAAAAAATTCTAACAATTCTAAACTATGTGAGGATATAATCTTTAAGCTTAAGCAAAATTAAATGAAACTATTTAAAATTCTAAATTTTTAGGTATAGAAATTTTGAAACACAAAAATGGAGTTAGTTCATCCCAAACTCAATATATTAGTTTATCCCAAACTAAATATACTGAATTATTAATTAACAAATATGGCCTAATAGTTTGGTCAAAAGAAAATAGTTTGGTCTAAAGTTTGGATACATTATAGTTAATTATATTTTTTGCATATTTCACCATATCTCAAGAGCTTTTTTAGCTTTTAAAAATAAGACTTTTTTAAAATTTGATATTTCAGATATTATTTGACCGATTTTGCTCAACCTGATCATCAATCAAATTGTAGTCCTACAGCACGAAGATCAAAAATTTCTCAATTTTTTTCATACTATGTATAAAAATATCAACAACAGAAATCTAAGCAATTATTTAAAATTAATCAATTCTTAGCACAACGAAGACTGGATATAGTTAAACCACCCTCCAGCAAAACAATCCTCCACATAAATTTTTTTAAATTTGAACTGGAAAATCTAACAGTTTCCTGTGTTTTTTTGCAGCATTTTTGGGCACTATATTCAGAGACTGACCAGAATTCTTCATAAATATTTTCCACAGTTGCTGAATCTGGTCATTAAAATAAATTTTTTATGCTATAAAAGGATACAACAAGTGTGGCCCAGTTAAAAAGCAAAAGAAAGCAATAATCTGCAGGTCTTCCAGCAAAAAGTCCTGGAACAATATAAAGTTATAAAAATTAGCAACAATTTAGTTACCTTGGTAGTAATGCTTTTTCTAGATTTTTCCCCAGAAAAAGACTTTCAAAGTCCTTTTCCTAGGAAAACACTTGCCTGGATTTAACAAATAACAAATTTTTGATAATAACTATACTACTGACATGAGTGTCACAATAACCCTTTTAAAAAAGCATTGTCAATTGCGTTATTATCTTCAAATTGACCAAATTAAGTGATAAACACAGTGGCTAAATCCGATCCTTGAGTGGTCAATGATTTAATTTTCAACCAAAAAATTAATTAGAAAATTAGCATAGGCAAATTTTATTTATTACTACATTTCAAAACTAATTTCAGTAAACTTCGAAATAACACATAAATTATAACATTACAATTCTGAAATGAATAAGTAACCTAATAACTCTAGGTGTCAAAAAATTTAAACATTTTGATATTTCAACTTTTTTTAATAAAATTTCATTTTGACTGAAGAAATCTTTGTGTACCAAACAGATCTAAAACATTTTCAGGTTATTTTATTGGAACAAGTTGTTCGATCTCGTTTTCCTGAGTGTTTGGAAGATAAAATTCAGATTTCTTTTTCGGCAGGGGTGTAGTTTCAAAAATGAACAAGAACAAAAATCCTTTAAATATTTGACAGCTTGGTTAAAGAGGAAACTCGTATAATCGGGGATTGGAGATTGGATAATTGGGACTTTACTGATTATATACATGGATTATTTACTAATCAAAGCTGCAAGTAATTTAAATTGAGTAAAAAATAATAAAATTAATTGTTCTAGAGAGAAAGCTGAAAACTGCCATAATTTAATTTTACTATAACATAACATTATACTTAATTTAATTTAACAAACCTATTTGGTATTATTATTTTTACATATTCAAATTAATAACTCATTATTTGACTTTTCATGCCAGTGATATTTTAATTTTATAAAAGACAATGTGAATAGAACTTAAATTGAACATAATATATATACTTTGGTGGAAAAAAAAATTTTAAGAGAAGAAAACTTTTACTATACAATTTTTAACAAAAAAAACTTTATTTAAAAAAAATATAGCACCATTGAGGTACATAAAACTTAAAATAACATCCTCTTCTCAGATCTCTCTATATCATTTCAATTAAATATTCAGTATAATTAAAGATTGTAGAAAATTGAAAATCATTATTTACCAATCCCGTAACACCTGTCATTTCAAGCCTTTAATATTTTAAAAAATAATGAAAGACTTCAAATCAGTTGCTCAGAAAAAATATAATAAACAAATATTTTCAATCTTTTCTTACCTGTTTCTAGTTGAAGTGAATAGTTGTATAAAAAATAGAGATTAAGAAGATATGAAAATGCTCTGTTGGGGGTCAGGGGGAAATAGAAAACAGCAGTGAGAGGTCTCCAAATCTAAAAAAAATAAAAAGGTAGGTATATATCACCTGAATTAACTAAAACCTTGTCAATTCCATCAATTCAAATCAACACAACAATTTCTTTTTAATAATTTTTTAAAGAGCTTTTCTCTCTGCTTGTTCGCAAAGAACAACTCCTAGAATTTTATCATTATTCTGCATCATCCGAGGTGGAGTCGATAAATTCCAGGAATGGTCGTCTACATTCACACAGGCAATCGTTGGACAGGTTAATATTTTTTTAGAGGTTGGCAGCATTAATAATGAAAACACATAACCATCTGGAATTTACTTCTGGTAATGTCAGCGTTAGCAGTAGACCATTTCTGACATTGTCAGACTTTGAAATGTCGTTTTCAAACAAGTGTGCAAACATTAAATTCTGTGGGGTTTTTTTGGGGGGGAGGGGGCGAAATCACCTTCTAATACACTTGAAATACTGAAGAAAGCATAAGAAAACGATGACATTAAAAAAACGGGTGGGTACGAGTGGCATAAGTGTTTTCATGAAGATCGCACAAACATCAAAGATAATCCTCAGACTGGGCATCCCCTCTCTTCAACCCGCAGATGAATTATATTTTGTTATTCTTTGAGATTTTATCTTTTTTATCGCAGTTTATCGCATCCCCTCTCTTCCACCCGCAGATGAATTATATTTTGCTATTCTTTGAGATTTTATCTCTTTTATCGCAGTTTAAATTTTTGAATTATTTTTAAGAATATTGATATAATTATTCTTATTAGGCCATTAAATGATTAACAAACATTGAACGAAAAATGATAAACTTCTTAAAAGTTGAAGAAATTTGGAACAGGCTTCAAAAGCTCTGTGGAAAGACCCAATGACAATTCTACCAACTCTTAATTTAAAACCAACTTTGAAACCACATTTCATCTAAATGTTACAGGTATATTTTTTAATCTTAAAAGATTATGGTACAATATCAAAAGGAAACTCTTCTAATGTATCATTCGAGAAGAAAATTGTAAATGGACAAATTAAGATTGCCTTTTGTTATGGACAAATACACATTTAATACACACCAAAGAGTGATCACCATTCATGGAAAATTTGCTATCGCAATATATGTATATATATATATATAAAAAGTCGAAATTCTCCTATTCTATCTCGTAGTTTATATTTTCCTATAAAACTATTCAAGGAAATTCTACATTATTTATTGAAAATCCAAAAGAGAAAATGAAAAAAATTGAACTTATTGATGAGGATATAAAAAGGTTTGAGAAGAAATTAGGAGACATTCAATCACAGCAGAATGATTTAAAGTTACAACATAAAAGAAGATTTTGATATGATAAGATTTGTTATACATTTTCAATCTAGGCAATAATTTTTTATCCAACTTCCATTTCAAATAAAACTACTAAATTTTAAGAAATATATGCTGGCATGTACAATATTCAATATAGTGCATTATAAAAATTTTAAATCTTCAAAAAAATCAATGATTTCTGAGCAAATTTCGTCAAAATCAGTAAGCGACGAAAGGGTTAGAACTAGTTATAAGACAAAATAAATTGCACGCAGAAAGCTTTTTTTATTAAGACTGTGTGTTCGCAGAAGGTTTTCATTTAATGTAAGTCTGGTTATGGAATGATTTATTATTTGAAATGAATGGATAATTTGCGTTAATCTATAAAAATATATTTGTCTGATAGCAATTAAGTTTAATGTCTATTTATATAAGACAACACTATTTCTTTATAGTATCATATAAAAAGTTAAAAAAAGGGATTCATAAAGTTTGATGATTGTTTATTTATGCGGAATGAATATGCTAAAAATGAAGATCTCCGTAATATTTTTTTTTAAAAAAAATATGTATACGACAGCCCGGAGGTGAATTTATACATTTCAAGTTGGTCCCCTTCTGTTTTTATCTTTCTTTTAGTTTTTTGAGGGCCGAAGCCCGGCAATTGCCATAACTTGGAGATAATTGTTCCACGGATCACGATAAGGAAAACTGCCCGAAGCAATTAAAATGAATAGATGATTAATTATTACTTGAAATTTAATGTGGGAGCATACTGCCGCTTTTGGTCTCCTTTCTAGAAGGGAACACAAAAAGCGAAGTATATATATATAGAAATGCAAGTATTAATGTTTTTAAAGCAAGTAGAATGATAAAAGATTACCTGAAACTGTTTGAAAAATGCATTGTACTCTAGTATAAGATAATAAGGGTTTAATAATCCAAATCTTGCCAATAAGGGAAACGCTAATGATAATGCAAACCAATATCTAGTGAAGAAAGGAAGAGAATTAAAAAAACTTCCAACACCAAGATCACTCATGTTAGTTATTTTTCACTGATGACACCTTTTTAATTTAATTAATCACATGCATTTTAACACTTTTCTTAAACAGACGTGTCTTTACGAGAAAAATTATTTGTTATGTTTGTGTCAATGATGATGATGATGATGACTGACGGACATTTTGGAGCTCTTTGCTGTTTATCGCTTATAGCTCGCTTTTCAATTATGTTTGAGCGGTTTCATGATGGTTGACCATGTAACGCTGCACAGATGGCGCTAGGGGCTACTACTAGGGTTACTTCTGGGTTACTACTTTCGATTGATCTTTACGGCTATGCTTGAAAAGCACGTAATCCAATATTATTACCCAGTAAACACAATAAGTTTTATTTTCACTTAAAAAAACCTTTAAATGTAAACCTAAAAAGATTTTAGTGTGATTTATAAGTAAATCTTCTAACCTTAATACGAGATCGGTGACGATCTGCTCCATTCGACGCATATTACTCTACTCTAAAACATTGGCGATCACAACCCTCGAATACGCTATCTGGGGAGAGACCGATATCATGCTTTTGGCCCTTCCCTTTCCTCCGCTTTTCAGTTGTATAGGAATGTACTAAGGTATTTTCCCTTTTCTTAATATTTTTCCTTATTATTTAATAAAAATATATTTTAAAATTTCCGTGATGCTTTTCTTTAGAACAATGTTTAATGTAGTTTTCTGTTCCACATAGTTTTCCAACTTAAAAGATTTTAATCTATGTGAAAATCAAGAGAGAAACTAACGTACTTCCTTCCTCTATGATTCTCCACACGCTGATGGGGAAAGCATGCGAAGTGTTGCCATAAGTAGAGAGTTCTGCTCTAGGCCATCTGCAGCCCATTTCAATCGCCAATTGGAAAACAAACATTTATATAAAAACATTAAATCGTGGTTATTTTAGGGCTCTCAAGCGGAGAAAAAAGTCTTTGAATAAAGTTAATCTATTACGGGGAGAATATTCTTAAATCCAGGTAATCAAAAGATTTCTTTTCGCAACGTCCTGTATACTCAGCTAAAATCCACCCCCAGAAAGCATGTAACCTTACGACAACCTTGAGTTTTAACTTTACTTTCATTGTTACGAAAAGGTTTGCGGTAAAAACCTTTTTTCAATGACGTAAAAATATAGCAATTTCCAACCTTTCCTCCTAAAAGGAAAACAAAATGATTCTTAAATCGTTTTTTAAAAATATTGTTATTTAGGTTAAAAAACAAGCAAATTGTAAACCTTATATTTTGCATTTTTGTTTGCTGACATGATTAGATTAGCAGAAATATTAAGCGAAAACCTTTTTCAAAGGAAACGAAATAAAGCAAATATTAATCTCTTCAGCGAAAATATTAATAAATAATAAGAAAATATTTTGTTGTTGTTGTTGTTGTTAATTTACGTCGCACTAGAGCTGCCTGCACAGTGGGCTATTGGCGACGGTCTGGGAAACATCCCGGAGGATGATCCGAAGACATGCCATCACAATTTTGATCCTCTGCGGAGGGGATGGCACCCCCGCTTCGGTAGCCCGACGACCTGCGCGCGAAGTCGAGCACTTTACGGTAGCACAGTTTAACGAGGACCAATACCGCACACCCTCGGTCCCTACGCAGACTGATCCAAGTGGTCACCCACCCGCACACTGACCGTAGCCAGAAAATATTTTGCAAAGGGCTTCATTTAAAGGAAAGCAAATAAACGAGAATAAGACCATGACTTTGGATTGTTTTTTTTTTTTAAAGTCTGCGAAAGTACAATACGAAAACTTTCTTTGAAAGGTTTCTCGACACAAGTATAAAAAATAGTTCTTTTTTAGAAACTTTTCATTCGAACAATCTCATTAAAATAATAAATAAAATTTGAATCTGGAGTTTAAAATTGACTCTTCAATATTTTGTTACATATTTTTTTTCCTTCTCGAATTTGGCTTTAGGGGTCCTATGCGTTGCGGATCCTTTATAATGAGGGGCCATCTCTCGTTCATTTTACCTTATTGCAAACCTAATTATGGTATAGCAATAAAATATTCGAGCAAAGAGAGTTTTATTTAAAATATTTATGTGCAGAAAAAATTCGCCCAACAGTCTATTGTGAGCTAGAGGGTCATCGATATTAAGACTCCACGATTTATGACTAACGAGGAGAGGTGGGGAAAATATAATCAGCATTGTGCACCTACCACCTTTATTTTCCTGACAAACTGGTACCCGCTCTACAGCA